TTTCATCAATGTTGTTTAACTTCTATTTCTAATAAGAAACACCAACAAAATCACTTCGAAGTTTCCAATGCCAAAAGTCCAAGAAAAAACAAACAAATTAATGATTCACGAAATAAACTAGGTTGCCAAATATTCCAAAAAACACAAGAAAAAGAAGTACAGGCGAATTGAAAATTAGATATACAATGAAGCGAAACACACAAACAGTTCGTGCTTATTCGCCTCTGTTTTCGTATTTCTAGGTTATTTCCCGGTTATTCCACACTTAAACTACATGTCTCCTGTGTTTAGCGGTTGCCATGGAAACTATACCTCTCTTATTCCGTGCTAGAGTTAGTCCATGTTTATTAGTAAGAGTTTTCGCTATTCTCCTTCTATTCTGGACTTAAGCACAGAATAAATTTTACACCACGTTTATTGGTAGGGCTGTTAGGGAGTTTGTGTATGCCATAGTGGACAGCACCATTGATCTTCAGGGCAAGCGCAGATGTACTAAAATAGTGCGAAACGTGAAGTGTGCATGCACAGGAGATCGATAGTCCCTTTTATCTGGGCCTCCTTTGTAAAAATAATATTGTGAATATCTCCTAAAGAAGGGGCCCCTTTTATCTGAGTTTCTTCTGACTGAAGCATTAAACAAGGTGGTCCAAGTCAAGATGATGCTATAAACCTTCTAATTCTAACTGCTGATAATTGAAAAGCATTGTCAGCAATGCTCTCATCTGAGCATTATCATATAAGATGGCAAGCTTCAAACCTTATTTGGACAATAACAATAACAAGACAGTTTGTGTATCATATTTATTGGGAAGTGGTAAAGTGCTTATAACCAATAGTGGAAAAATCTGTGTTTATTATTTAACTTTTTTGGTCGTATGCATCTTCAACCCCTGTTAAGATGCAACCCTTCAGCTTTGTTAATGTCACTTGTATCTGCCGTAAAGTTAATATCCTTAGCATCGCTAATAAACAACCACCGATTCATAGCAAGCCAAGATCATTAAAAAAAAAAAAAAAAAAAAAAAAAAAAAAAAAAAAAAAAGATAGTTTACATGACAAATAGCAATACAGTAAGTCATTATTTTGGGGGATGCTCATTGTTAATTGTAATGTTAATAATTGTGCAGTTGGAAAAATAAATGTTGGGTAAATTAGTATCATTTTCATGGCATTCTATGAAATTAATCTCTTTGCCAATGATGTTTATTGACATTGTGGTGACGCTACTGGAAGTTGATGCGCTATCTTTGTGACTGATAGTCTTCATCTTATTTACCATGTACTCTTCAACCCAGGATTCTGCTACAGTAGAGCTCTGCCACCCACCCAAATGTTTCAAATCTGTAACCAGTGTATTTTTTGGGTTCTGCAAGACCAAAATCAGTGGCTATAATTTTTGACACCCCTGCAATCTTGTGAATGCCAACTTCCTGTATACCACAGTGTCCGCAGTTGTTAAAAAGAAAGAATTTGTTGTGGTCTATGTGCTTTGTGCACAAATACATATAAATATTCCACATTGTTTATGGGACCATCAGGAATTACGGTAAAAAATAGTGAATTAGGATATTTAGAATCATTAATTTGCACAATTAGGATGGAACCTTCCCTCTTTATATCGTTGACATGAAGCTGGTTTATTTTATCACAGCGACAAGAACCAAAGAAGCCAAATATTAAAACAACCTAAAAAAACAAAACAAATGCCTTTACCCCAAATCTGTACATTCTTTCATTCCAGAACACTAATGTAACTATAACCATATTTTGTGAAACCAATATTATTCATCCTCAGTCTCTATCAAGAACTTCCATACATAATTTTCCAAAACGTTTGCTTTTTTTATTTGAACACCAACATTCAATCTCCTTAAGAATGCATAAAGCTTGTGGAATGATTTCAAGTTCGCATTTTCATTTATGCCTATTGTGCATCTCAGCATTGAATAATAAACCCATAATGAGGTTGCCTTATGTGCCTGTGACTTTGTAAAACAAAATAATTCAAAGGTTTGTCTTCATAAAATGTGATTAAAGTGTAAATTAGCTTACTAAGTCCTTGAAATACGCCAGCATTACATCTTCTGTAATCACGTCATCATGATTTTGTAATTGCCAAGCTTCTTGGTATGCCTTTCGTGTCATCCTTTGGATTTTTCTGGGATTAAATCTCGTGTGACTTCCGTAAATTTTCCTCACCCATCTTGCTCTAGTCATGGTATACAAATGTATTGTTCAAATTGATATATTGCAAGCAACATCCAACAGTATTGATTACTGCGCCGCAGCAAAATAATTCATTTGTTTAGTATTGCAGTAATGTTGTAAATTTTGCAAAAATTTTGAGATTTTATGGGGATCAATAAAATGCTGAACATGCCATGAAACGTGAGTGTCAAAACATTTCACTTATGGGTACCTGTATTGATCAAGCAGATTCATTTATTGGTGCATCTTCAGTAAGTTCCCACTTGTATTGTGTGTGGATTGTGAATGTTCATCAAACATTGTTCAAACATGGTTCATTGAACGTTAAAATACCTGTTTGTCTCTTATGTGCGTTGAACAAGTGAAAAGGTGTCAATGTTTTGACTCCTTTTCGCTTGTTCAACACATCCAATCATTTCACTTATGAGTACCTGTATTGATCTAACAGATTCATTTATTACTGCATCTTCAGTAAGTTCCCACTTGTACTTTTTCTCTGCTTTGGTTCTAAAATTAAAATCAGTTGTGTGTGGATTGTGAATGTTCATTGAACATTAAAATGCCTGTTTGTCTCTTACCAATTTTGTAACTTTGTGTTGTGTATGTATTAGTCTGTTTGTCAAAATTGGTAATTGGAATATGCAAGATATGATTATAATGAAATGTAAAAAGTAAAACCAACAAATTTGTAAGACTGGCAATACCTACAGTATACAGCGGCCTATTAGTTTGTGGGCTTCACAAAATAGACAAAAGAAATACAGATGTAGGATTTTCAAATTAGTTTGTGAATATTGAGGAGTAGAGATATGCTTTCATTCACTATTATGAAGGGTCATTAATGTCTTACCTGTAGGTTGTTACATGTTATCTTTATAATAGAATGTGTGTGTTTCAATCTGTGGAAAATCATTTGCTTCTTCTGAGTGTCAAGAATAGTTTACTATTGCATTTAGTGCAATAATATTGTGATCTTTTAATTTGTAACCTCTAAATGTGTAATGACCTGATAGGCATCCGAGGTTAAGCTTTATGTGTACAATATTGGAAGTTTTCAAATATCATTCAATAACATTCTGAAACTTACGTTTCTAGATGTATATGTACTTATAATTACTTATTTAAATGTCTTGAAATTATTGTGTATGTGCATTTGCAAGCCAATAAAATTTCATGGTGAGTTAATCAACTTGTAATCATGGACTTTCAGAGTGGTGGTCGGATGAGTGGAGAGGAAGCTGAAGAAGTGGGTCCTCTTCACCAACAGCCTTTAGCCTTGGGCTACTTTGTATCAACAGCACCCACTGGGCGCATGCCTCGGTGGTTTTGGGCTTCGTGTCCCCACCTAGAAGATGTTTGTCCAGCCTTCCTTAAAAATGCTCTTCACCTGCACAGCCCTAGCATCCAGCAAAATGATGATGTACTGCAACAGTCTTCCGTTTCAGTACATCCACTTGACTCTCAGTACACAACTGATGTGCTTAGGTAAGTAGAGTTGTCAGATTCTTATGTTCTTCGTATATTTGTAAAAGGAAACTTAGTAAAGTAATTCAAATGGAAAGGGTGTTAAAATGTTCCTCCCTGAATCTCTAGCAGTATGACAATTTCAACCAAACTTGTTATAACTAATTTCATCCAAAGACTAATGTTGAGAAACTTCAAAAACTGTATGTATTTGACACCAGTATTGAGAACTAATCTACAAGAAGATAAGTTCATAATTTTTAGTATTGTATTTTTCATCCTATTAATTATGTTAAGAAGTTGGCAATGCATGAAAGTGAGAAGCTCATATAATTTGCAATTAATACATGATACCTGAAATGCAACTGCTGAATTTATAGTACAGAAATTAATATGAGTGTAAAGTGAAGGGTTTACTTACACTTTGAGTTTTTGTTAGTGTAGCAATCTTATGATTTAGCTATGCAGCTGTATTCATAGCAATTATACAGAGCGTTCAGGGCAGTGAATGATTGTAATGACAGCTTATATAACAGATGAGCGTCGCCTAAGACCGCATCGCTCTTCACCAAATATTCTTCCACCAGTCAGCTGAGTTGCATTCACAGCTTGCCACGGTTGACTGAATTTTGTTGTTAAATGTAATTTTGATCGCGTGGATGTTAAACAGTTTTCACGAGAGATTCATTTAATTCCGTATCATTAATGATGAAAAATTATACTAAGTGATTCAAAACATTTCAAAATACTGTTGAGAACATGTGTGATTGATTGAATTAAGCCATCAGATATGAAAATGATATAGAATATACTGCAGAGCTTCTACGTAGGCCTTGTAAAAAACTATCAGAATTCTGCCGGTTCTTTTCGATCTTGCGTGTTCAGAAGATTCAAATTGTGTGCTCAATAATGTTTTGCAGTTACAATATCGGGTGTTTATAATTACGATTTAATTTTCACGTTGCTAATATTGACTGACAGCCAGTGTATCAATTATTGATCAGTGACTTACAGATATGGTTAGTTAATTGTGAATTTGTTGTATTAAGTACTATAATTTGTTTAGTGATTGGTAAAACAATTAGTTACTTAAAACTTATTTGACATGTTAGACATGTATAATTAGCAAATTAATGGTAGTTTTATGTTATTTTCTTTTCATAATTCTGGATTCTCCTGATTGTACTATCTTGGAAAATTTTCACACTACATTCAAAGATTTCTGTGGGAAAAAGGATACAAGTTAATAGATATTCTCGAGTACTGTTTGGCAGAATTCTCAGTTAATTCAACTGATCAGTAACTTCAGGTAAATTTCTTAAATATTGAAATCAAGTCGATTCTTAAAAAAAAGATAAAAAAATGGGTTAAAATGTGCTATGAATTATTGTACTCACCTGTCATTAAAAGGATATTAACTAATATATTCAAATTAATGAAAGATGAATGGTTTTTGATGATCACTGTGCAAGTTTTAGCCTTAGAAATGAAAATTAAAATGTTCAATATCTTCAATAACTTTATTATCTAAATATAAAAGTCAATTAGAAATTAGATGAATGGTAACATAAAAAAGCAAATGTATAAGTGAAAAAATAATTCCCTTTATTTGCATGATTATTTATTTGAAGGATACAACATTTCCACCAAATCCATTTGGAGTTCAATAACTTTTATCCACTTATATAACTTAAAGTCAACCTATACAAAATCAAAATGAGTTTCCTAAGTCCTTTTAGAAAATATTCACAACCTATTATTAACATCTCCAGCCTCAGCCTATCATTTGCCTGGGTGAGGAGTCAAAATTTTTAAATAAAAATTATACATTTGAATTTTTACAAAGAGGATAAAACAATGAACGATGAAACATGAACAATGAAAATCTTTTTCCAAACCTATGATATATACTGCATTAAACATGTAAAGATACTGACCATATCTCTATTTAAGTAGAGACACCAGAGCCCAGGCATGGGAACAGCACGAGGAATGTTATCATCATCAGTGTAGTCCTGAATATTTACTACGACTGAAATCCCTGAAGCATCCTGCCTAAGCCTACAGCCTACCTACAATAATATCAACTCATTTTCTGAAAGAAAAAGAAAAGAAAAGAAAAAAACAATAACTGCAACTCTAGGCAATATTTTGTTTTTCATTTTAATATTCACTTCTCCACTGAAACCTGGTTTAATGCTTCCTTCCATTTTCTTGTCACTGCTTGGTGGTCAAAAGTGGTTCCGCGATGTCTCTGATAATATCTTTTGCACTGGCTCCATACCAACTCGATAGGATTGTAGTGACAATGGTAGAGGGAAGCTGCAAAACTCTGTGTCCAGCTTCTTCAATCATTTCATCCACAACATATCTGCACCCACATCAACTGATATGATTTTTCAAATAATGAAAACATTGGCAATCACATTGTATAAAAAGCATGCAAAAAATAAAACTACCTTATTCTATGACTAATTCAACAAAACTTATGCTTAAGAGTACCTTTTCTGAACAACTACTTCAGAAGTTTTCAAAAGAAGACTCTTAAAGGTATGCTCAGGTCTAAAAGGTGTGTTCTGCTGAGTTAGAAAATGCTACAGGTCACCCTTCCTCCATTTGATGAAGGCCTTTTCACTTTTAAAAAAATTGGAAATGACAAAACGATGTTTAAATATTTCAGTTATATTCAAAGATGACATGCATTTCTTTTCATTCTCTCTATAAATACATATAAAACATCCTACTGGCAAAGTTGATGTTCTCTAAGAAAAATTATATTACTGATATACCTATAATCACTGAACACCATTGAATGTAATAAATTTTCAATTCCACCTTTCTTAGTGAAACATCAACTTTCACCACTGTGTAGTTTTAATATTCATTTTATAATTGGTTATTTTTATAAAGGAATAAATGTATTATTTGAATGAATATTTTGCTCATTTCTAAAAGAACAATTGATGAAATGTCACTCACTAGCACAGATTGAACAGGTGCATTGTCCATTACAATAACTGATGGTTCTGCTAACCAAAGGAAATAATTCTTCTTTCATCCACTTTTGGAACATCACTGTTGTCATTGTTCTATGATATTCATTTACTTCTTTTGTCTTTGACGGAAACAATAGCTCTGCATCTTTGATGAAACCATTTGCACTTCCTGCATGTAAGACTATATCTTTTACCTTCATCTAAATTTTTGCTTGAGCAACTCTCATTTTTATTTTGCCATGACCGAGAGGCATAACCTAAAGGATAGATTGTTAAAAACAATTAAAGATGAAATATATCTACTGAAATAAAATCATATTGAACCACTATGTAGGTGCTTCAAACTGGACAAACCATATTCTTCATACACATAAGCCATTTCACACACTGCTATTTTTAAAAACTGCATTTCATTACATGCAAATCATGCTTTCTCCATTCACTTATATCTAGAATTTCCTAATTTTCAACACTACAAAATTTAGTAGATTTTTTGCTTGCCTTTTGAATAAAACCAATTTACATCCAAAAGCACAAATTAATAGCCTTCAGTTTCATATATTCCATCAAAAAATCAGATGTTGCAATAACAATTATCATTCTTTCCATGCAAATATAAATAAATTACTTACCATTTTTGTACATTGAATAAATAATGCGCCTAATCCAGCCCTGTCCAAAATCATCCACTATTCATGTTTTGTTCCCTTCTATTCCTGGACACTTCCTTTCTGGAGTCTGAGCAGTATCAGGGTCTTGCTTCCAATATCTGTAAAATTAAATTCAACATTATCCAAAACAATACTAACTGACAGTTTTATTATAATTTTACTTACTTTTGAACAATGTGAGTTTTCAGCCTCAATTCATAGGCAGTTTTGTCAATAACTGAAGAAGTTTCTTGCAATAAAAAAGATTGTCTTCTTGGCGCTGATGCTGTGTCACTTCTCCCTTCTGCGGTGGACTCATTGCTAAAGTTGCTTAAAAACGATTGATATTTATCGTAAACTACATTAATATTATTACAAAAATAAATATCTACCATAAGAAATAAAGTAATTAAAATGTAAGTAATTACAAATTAAATATAATATAAATATTAAATAAATAATGGAAATTCTCCGAAATATGTGGAGTGAAATTGTTCACGTCTATTCTCCCCTGTGTCGATGATCTCACAAAGGTTTAACAGGCTGAGGAGAAGGGCTCTGTCAGCACCCCTCTCTGGGGGTGCCAGGCAAAAATACACAAAACGGTCATAAACACGCTAAACTGTCCTTTAAACTCAGGCAAAAGGACCACCCGGGGCCCGCCAACAAAAGAGAAGCCCTGTTAGTTGCACCTCTCTTTTCTGCAGTGAACTCTCCAAATTCTAAGTGAACACAGTATGTGTAAATTATTAACTTTTAAAAATAGTAACCTTGAATATAGTTTCAGGATTCTTCAATAACGTTTTATCACTATAATAAAATATTTTTCTTTAAACTTTCTCCTTTGCCGGAATGACAATACATTCGGTTGTGCCACAGTGCCACGACACGTTAGCCAACGTTCTTGAAATGAAATTGAATCACTGGGCCACGCCTCCAGGCATGATCCATGTGGTATGGCATCAGTGGCTGTCAAAAAAAAAAGTCACATGACTGAACGCTCTGTAAACTGCAATGCAGGTTAAAAAGGAATTTAAAATGAATATATTAATTATTATGGTATTACATTTTCATACTAGGTAAATAAGTTTCTAAGAGATTATAAAAGGGAAAATAAAAACTAGTATTACATACAAACAATGTGAACAATTGACAGATCTTTGTGTTTATTATATCATTTGTAGATTCATAGGGAAATAGTGACTAGAACGGAAAGGAAATATGTCTGTTTCTGCTGTTTAAATTTTACTATGTCAATTTAGTTCTTAAACTTCAATACTTCAAATAATAACAATGTTCACACCCATGTGGTATGTTCTTGATCATGAAGAGTGGGATGTGATTCATATCGAGGCATTACGTTTGGTGCAAAAATATTCATATTATGTTATGCGCATAAAATTCAAAATTTCATGTCACACAGTGAATCATTCAAGTTTGAATTTACGATTACAAAGAAAATGTTATTGTTAATTTTGAAATGTGGTTAATTTGTGACTTAGCTGTTTAATTAGCCAGATGGGTAGAGCTGTATGAATGATGAACAAATAATTTGACATTGTAGGCAATATCTTGGCATTAAAATATATTGAAAGTAAAGCATTGCTCAGAATGAAAATTGTTTAATATTAATTGTGAAGGCCAAAGGCCAGAACCGTATTTCCTACTTGGAAATGGGTAGCGAAGCGTCAACTGAAATATATAGTGTGGTAAGATTGGATTACATTGTGTAAATAGAAATCTATAAGCGACACAGCGTCAAGTGACAGAATACATATCGTCTCTCTCTAGCCCTCGAAACATCGAACCAGCAGTCTCTCTCTAATATCTGCTATTTTTCATGACCATAACATACTTCACCTACCATAGGCACCTTGTGTTGGCTACTATGCACTTCATTCAGCTAAAATCCAACATAAGCTCCGAAGCTGTACTGACATTAAACTCTATACACCCATTTTGGATGTTCACTGTTCTAGTTTACGAATTAGCCAGATTCAGACACCAGTTAAAACAGTTACATATGATTGTTATGATAGGATGAAAACTGCTTTATATTACACATTTACTTCTACTTAACTGACCTGAAAGTGTTTACAATGGAACCCAATTGGCTTGTGTAAGGTGTTGACTTCCAATTTTTAGCCAACTGTTTGCCAATCTTTTTGATGTTGACTCTTCAAATTAATTATGAACACATTTCATGATTAAACGCTATCAAAGAACGGCATTTATGATGCTTTAAAATGCCTATTCCATTATTAGACTCTCAATAATCTTCTTTGTCGTGTAAAAGAACGAAAATTCTAGTTTCTTGTAATTGAAACCATGAAGAATAAACTCAGGAGCTCTGTAGAATATGTTTCTGAAGCTGAAATATTTCTATTCCCATATTTTTGTGGATGTGCTACGCATCAAAAGAGATAGAGGGGAAAAAATATTTGAATTTATCTGAATATAAGATAAGGATTTTTCCTGAATATCTCAGTCGAAAAATGCAGGGTCATCTTATATTCTCAGATTAAGTACAGTCAGTTAGGTTTAAATTTTTATAATACCATTCCATGGTGAGAATCTCATGAATGTTGAAGTAACAATAAACTACAAAGGCGGTAAAAATATTGCCATATCTAGTACTATACAATTGTGGTCATATTCTCAGCATCCACTGCGATTTTGCCAGGCAATTCAGACCAGTATTTTTGAATGAGCCAGAAAAGAGATAATCTCAAAAGAATGGCATTCTATCAAATGAAACGTAACATGAAAATGAATGTCGAGATATTGTTACACGTAGAAGATTCATTGAGGCCACGTGGAATATCTTGGTTCTATGCCTGGCAAGTGTGAATCAGGGTTTTCAATTGTTATAAAAATATGGCATCAACTAGTGCAGGACAGAGAAAATGTGGTAACACAGAAGGAAATGTTTTTGGGTGGTATCTGATAAGACTAAAACCAAAGGAAATTCAATGCTCAAAACTTTGAGTAGGGTCTGAAAGTCAGATGGCGCAGCATGGAAGGAGGACACAAAAAATAAACATTAAGTAAGATACATGTAAAGATGGCAAACATGGTGGTACAATGATTATGATGATTTGGAGGAAGAAAAAGATAGTTCAACAGTAAGTTGAACATATAATATTAATAATATATAATAATATTCTCACCAACAAGGCAATTTTCTAGTTAATGAGATAATTTTCATTTTGACTTCATAGTAATTAGTTTAAAAATTCAGGGGGCTTCTTCAAAATTAATGGGTCATCTTATGTTCAGAGTCTCCTTATAGTCGAGTAAATTTGGTAATGTTGTACTGTCTATTATTCCAATATATAAATATGCTCCAATTACCAGCTTTGAAATAAAATCATTTTAAATGTCTAAATTAGTCTGAAAATTTCATGGCTTTTGTAGCATTTAGTTTCTACTTGCATTAGTTTTCATATTTTACTCTTCCAAAATATTTAATTTTGTAGCTTGGAAGCATCTTTTTAGTGTTTTCCGCTTGATGTTTAAAAAGTTTTTATAATTTTTGGTTATTCAAGTTTTATAAATATTTTGAAACACTTCTAACTTATTTATTAATATGTATTTGCAGATTTTACTTAATTTTGAGAATTCAATATAGTTGAAAATAGTAAGTGTCCCTCCTCATGTTACATCTTTGGAGAATAACCAAGTTAGGAGATAAACGCTTGGAAAAACTTGTTCCTTCAGTGTAACTGACTCTGTATTTGATTTTGTTACTCAATATATGAGAACACTTGAGATATAATGTTTACAGACAATAGATATTTTGTTACCCATAACTTCATGAAACCTATATGCCATTTTACATAATCTACTTGGGGCCAGGAAATACAAAGAGAGAGATTTATTTTGATACAGAACATTCAGAAGTTTTGGTGATTATTATTGACTTCCAGTGCATTTACATTTACCCAATACCTTTGGGCAGTTAATGAAATATTGTATTTTATGTCTGTTACTGTACTTAAAACAATTAGAATGACTAGTATTTAATTATCACATGTGTTACATCACCACATTACGTTACAACATTTTACATTCAACATTCAAGTCATGTATTTGTGCCCTTTTTTTCGTGTCTAGGGAGGGATAAAAGTAGTAAAAATAGAACCATTTTATAAATTGAAAAGTAAAACAAATAAACCATCAAAACAATAACTGTTCAGGTGCTTTTCCAAATTTCAAAGACATGTTATAGTCTCTCTTAATGAGATAATATATTTTGTTGTAATGTATACATTTTCTGATTTATATTATTACAAATATTATTCTATTACTCATAACTTTTTTTTAAATAAAATGTACATTTTTACAGGTATGTGCTGGAAGGCTACAATGCTTTATCATGGTTGGCTTTGGATTCAAATACCCACGATCGACTGTCATGCCTGCCTGTGCATGTGCAGGCACTGATGCAGCTGTACCATATGACATCAGCCCTAGTGTGAGCATGTTGAGAGGGACAAATTATCAGTGGGCCAGATGGCCACCTACAGAAGTGTTATTTATTTGTAGAAGTGAGTGATTGTGTGAGCGTGCGTGTCTGTTGAGGGAGGAATGCAGCAGGCTTCTGTCAGTCACTGACATTAGCCCGTTGACTGCTATGTTGGTGTGGGCTGCCTGGAGCAGACGTATGGGGTTTCTGTGATACCTTGCCTGCCTGCCACCACTGCCGCCATGGCTGAAGAGAAACTTCAGACTTTGTTCTTCAGTACTCAAACAATTTTCAGGAAAGACACTTGTATCATAAGAGTTGCTACAACATATACATACAAGTTTATATAAGAAATACATATTATATATACTGCATACTTTGAAATAGTACAAAAGCGGGCGAGGGTGTGCGGGCGGTGTACAGCCAAGTAGGCTTTCTAAGTGTGTTTTCTGTATCTTGTTATTCTGTTTTACAGAGTTCAATTGAACCTGTTTTCAACAGATTATTTTGGGGCATTTTTAAAATCATTGTGTACTCTTCACTCAATATTTGAACTGAAAAGACTGGCATCTTAGGTTTTTTATGTCCTTGTTGTGTTTTTAAGACTTGTTTACCTCTTGTTTCTTCCTATTTTATATTACAATTTCATTTTCACTTCCGAGTACAATGGTTTTATTTTGGGCTCACTTAGTGACATGTCACAAGCATTATGTCTTGTACTTTGTTTGCATAGACCTGGTAGTGTACAGTCAGGAAACTATTTATTTTGTATATAAGATTAGTAGACAGAGCAGAACAGCACTGCCGCCAATGGGGTGGGCGGGTTTTGGTCCCAGCACAGTGTACAAAGACCCAGGGACACTGACCTTGTTGATTATCCTCTATGGGAAGGCAGGGCCTAAGGCCCCGCTGCCTATTCCTTTTGTTATTAGGACTTATATATACATATATGAACATGTATATTTATATATATATATAGGGTTCTTTTGCAGTTGACCCATGGTGGTGAAAAATATTGTACATAGTTATTAATTATTATTGTAATAATTATTATTATTTTGTTTTGCCACAGGCGTTGATCAGTTAGATTCCACCAGGGTGTAGTGTTGCAGGATGAACCGCAGCAGGGATTTTCCAGGAATTGTATTTTGCAGTTACAAGTATAGGGTCTTTGGCCTCATTCAAAAGCTCTTACTTTGAATTATCAAAACTGACAAAATTATAATTAATAATTTCTCTCAGATTTTTATGGCACGTTGGAATGAAATCTTGTGAAATGTTGTCTCTAATACTTAAATAAGCAGCATTTAACCATTATGAAGTAGACAAACCAACATTCTAAACTACAATGTCAAAGCTTAAGACATTCTCACTTTTTATACATGTTATATGCTGTGGTGACAGTTTCATACAGTTGTTTTGTTACCATAAATAGCTCACAGCAGGCTCTGAGGTGCAAGTGACAAGCCCTGGACCAATGCAAGCGAGCACCCTTTTGCATTTTGCATCATTGCAGGACTCCAGTGCAACCAAAATTGTACCTGCATGGCAAGTGCTGAAATCAGCATCAGTGCAAAAGGGTTATCGCTTTCAAACCCTGCCGTGTCAATGGCTGCAGCACTGACAGTTCTGCCAAGTCACGTCATTGCTCAGCCTTTCAGAACATCAATTGGACTTTTAAAAATGCTGATTGTAGTATTTATTACTTGGGTAGTAAAAATATGGGATTATATTATTAATATTAAATAATACAGTTTTATGTGTACAGAGAAATTTGTTGTAATTTAAACCCTCTTTGTAAACTTCCCCCGCAGGTTCCTATTGACTGAGTAATTGAAATCTTCCTACCTGGGGTCCTTTTCCTGATGATGATCCTATTTGTAAACAAGAAGTATTGTACTGTACATATTTCTGTTGACTGGAAGCAAGGACAAGATTGTACTGGGAAGTGGTACGTATACGGAGATGAATGAAATTAGATTGGAACATAGTCATTGGTCAATACAAGGTCAATTTTTCCTTTGGGACGTGTGTCAGATCTTCGTGGAAGGGGCTAGAATAACAACCTCTACTACAGGAGAGAAAATTATTTGAAAGAAATACCTCCCACCAAAACTATTTATGATTTGATGACAATGAGATAAACTATATTTGTTAATAAATTTGCAGATTCGGGAAGTTTTAATTGAAATGGTAAATAGGAAAGCAAATTGAAAATCATTTGAAGATAGATTTTCCGGACTGGTAGGCCATGGTCCAGTTGGCATTGTTGGGCCAACAATGCCAACTGGACCACGGCCTAACAGCCCTGAAAATCTATCTTCTATTGACTCCGGCCGTGAAAGCCTACGATACTATATGAAAATCATTTGTTAGTAAAAATTTGACTTTATCCATTGTAGGTCCAAGTGTGTTCATTTGCTGAGAATCTCCAGACATTTTCATTGAAAAAATAAAAACTGCTGCAAATGTTATTAATTGTAATACATTAAATAGTTTTTTGTTCTTTTTTTTGAAGACATGATGTTCGAGGTGCATTAAAAAAATACTGCTATTGCATACTTTTCCTTTAGTTTTTTCCAAAAGGTAATTTCCTAATCGAAAGTTCCATGCAAATCCAAATAATCCTTTCTTTAATTCTACTCTATTGTAAATTATAGAATGCTAGTTGGAATATAAATGGATCCTCAATATGTCAACATTTAGAAAAATTTGTAACCCAAAAGTTACATGCTACAACTGTTGAGTTTTGTATTTTTGCAAATCAAGTGCTTTTAAAAAAATATTTTCCATGCAGGAGTTACTGATAAGAATATCAAGTCTGTTTTTTATCAAATTCAGATAACATAACTGAAAAATATTTGTCTATGAAGGGTAAAATTAAAGTCCTACAGTAGAAGTGAAGTAGCCTGTCTTGTGGTATGTACGTGAGAAAGAAATCCTAAATCTCTGAATGAACCAATCATACAGGATAGAACTACTCAACTACCATGGATTTTGTTTAAAGAACTTAAAATGTTTATAGGGTTGCCACTTGCTGAACCCACCTAGAGAATCTATTATTCAGATCATTGTGGAGGGGGAGGTAGAGAGGAAAAAATGTAATTGGAGATTACTGTATTGTAATCATAGGCATGCACATAGGGGGACTGTAACCTCCCTGAAAATATTGTTGGTTGGGTGGGGGTTTGTTTTACATGAAATATTTAAACTTTTAAAATCAGTTCAATTCCTAGTTTTCCCTCTAACCTGACAATTTTTTGAAATTGTTTTATGTCATTTGAGAAAGAGGCTCACCAAGCCAACTGGCAACCGTGTAAATAGTTTAACAAAATCAGTTCTATTTATTAATAATTAATTCATACATGGTTGGGCAAAACACTCTAAATTTAGTTTTTAAATAATTTGCCAAAATACATTGTAAATAAATATTTCAACACTTACTCAAAATATATTATATTTTGATTTGCTCAATACACATGTATTTAAAAACAGTGAATATAATTGTATTATATCTTTTATTGCAACAATATATTGTATTTGTCAATTAAAGTAAATTAGTTGTTGACAGGCACACAAAATTTCTGAACAATATTCTCTTTTAACTAAAATAAACGGAAATTCCTTTTAATACTACTAATTTTTCAAAGAAATCATCAGACAATAAACCCGTAGTTGGTGAATGTATAAAACTTAGTCTCAGTATTCTTCACTTTTGAAAAAACTATAGGTCTTATGTGATGCTAGTGCTGTGATTTTCTCACTGCAAGAAGAGAAAGGTCCCAGAAAAATTCTTATCACAATCCTCCTCACTATCAGATGTTGCAGTGTTTTATTTGGAGGGATAAAATCAGGGGGATAGCATACCCTTATCTTTGCATTGTTTACTTTAGGGGTGCTTTGTATTCTTCTTGCTCATATATTAATTACTTAATTTGCATTATTATTATTATGCCAAAACTATGTTTATTCTGGGTATACCTCTGTTGGAGTGATGTAAAATGTAATAAATGTAGATGAAACTATTTTCTAAACTTACGTGTGGTTTTTTCAAAGGACAGTAGGCATAAGACAGTACAGCCTTTACGTTGATTCATTTAGTTATACTAGTTGATTAATGCGTAAAAGTGTGCGTTCACAAATTTTTATTGAAACAAGGTGCGCTCAATGATTGTAGAGAAACGTGAATTTCAAATAAGAGTATTTTAATACTGCTTAACCCTGAAAAGGTCTCTTGCAAAACTTATACTATATTTATATTCAAATGAGTTTTCTTGGTGTAATTAAAAAAAAATATCACATCTGGGACAATTATTCCCTAACCTTTGGAATCAAAGCAGATAAGATTCTCATTTTATTTTTATTATACAATCATATTTATAAAGTATTTATTTTTTTAATATATTTAAAAAAGTTTTTTAAATACAAAGTGTACTTAAAATATGTATTTCAACTCCAAGTATTTAAATATTGGCCAACCTTGAATACATGTATCATAATAACAATAATGATACAATTATTGTGCCATTAAATGTATTATTTCATTTTCCTTGTACAGAATAATGTCTAACCTGAAATCGATCGGGACAAAAAAAAAGTTCCGGTTTAGGGATATTTAAGTTTTATGCAGGGTTGTCCATTTAAATGACACTTGTGATGTTGATGTATCCATACTGAAACTAGTAAATTAATGTAAGTAAGGAATTAAAATAAAGTAAAAATTACGTGGTTTTATTATGATTATTAAGATAGGTATACATACAGTACAACATATTTACGGAAGAAATCGCTAATAAATTAATATTAAACATTCTTATTGACAGCTTGAGAGTTTCCCTTGCTTCCGTAAGTTTGACCTAATGGTAGGGAATGTTAGAGATTTGTGGTTTTCGCATTGTTAAAATGATTGTGAAACCATAAAAAATATTCACCAACTCACTGCCTAATGGCTGAAATCGGACTGGATGCTGACTCTTTCAACGCACAATGTGTCACAACCCAGAGTACTATTATTTTCTGCTACCTTGCATGGCCTTGAGCAATGTGTGTCTGTCTGGGTTACGATTTTGAAAGTGGGGCAGGGAGAGGTTCGGACAGAAGCCATGCCTGTACACTTTCCCACGCTCAGAGAGGAGGGGGAAATTCCCCCACAGCCAACGCCTTGGGAGACAAACCCTCATGGTCGAATTCTACGCTGTCAGCTGAAGCCCCTCCTTCATAGTGCGGTTGCTTCGACTAAATCGTGTGGGATAGAGAATTTAAAACAGACTTGCAGATGCATTCGTTACATTTAGAATATCTCGCGTCTCTGACAATCGCATGAAGTATATTCTTAGGAATTCCGTTTTAGAAATATTTTTCCCCCTTAGGACATGAAAATCCGTTCCGTTTCCGCGTTGGACTGATTCCTTTTTACGCTGTGTCAAATACCATATAACTTCAAGAGCCAGAGAGCTTTTCCAGTTATGACAGGTTTCCGGCTTGTACAGATTCCCGTTTAGACAGATTTTACTGAAGTGAGTTTTATTCATTTACTATTAAAATATATTGAATGTAAATGTATAAAAAAAGTAGCAAAATTAAAAATTTTGTAAAAGTTAACCTATTTATTGCGCAGGGTATCAAATAAATTTGATAGATTGAATAAGTTTTTAAAGCCAAAGGAATAGAAAAGTTAGTGTTGAACAGAAGAGAGTGTACTAGAAATTTGAGTAAATTTCAGAATTTAAATATGTATAGCGAAATAATTACGCAGTCATACTTGTGTCACCTTGGTGAATGTAATTATTCCTTTTCTTTTTTCTTTAACGGTCATTTCCAAATCTTTCACATTAACTGGAAAGTACTCAAATCAGTAGAAAAATAGTTTTTGAAAATGCCATGAAATAATTACGAAAAGTGAATCCATTTAACAGAATGAATTAAAAGTCATCTATTAAAGAGTATACTTCAATGACTATTGCATTTTTTGTTTAAAATAAAAACGAAGTCAATGACACGCAAATTGGACCACGAGTCTACGGGTAAAAATTAGGAGAATTGCCGTTTTTCGATACACTAACGTAATGTTAGAGTTTGCGTATGCTCAGAGGCTGAAAAGGGAAATGCATCATGGAGGGTCCAAGTAGTATTCTTCCATGAGCAAACTCTTTGCTAACTACTGACAATATTTTTTTTGTAGTGTACATTGGCAGCACTGTACTGTTTTGTGGGAGGGGAGGGAAAGAAAATATATAGATACTGTAAATATGACAAATGTTTCTCTACCTCATCAGAATTTAACTATTCGACTTATGAGCATGTGTGGTACGTTACGGCACTTGTCATTCGTTTGTTGAAAGTGTGTGTTGAAAGCACCTCTCAGTTGATTGCTCTGAATTTCAGGACAATCTAAGTATATTGCATTATTAAATGAAGTTTTGACGTTTAAGAACCAACAAGTTGCTTTGGCTAAAAGTTAGTTGTTTTGAATGAAAACTTTATCAACAGTGCGTTATGTTTTTGTGAAGTGTTCATAAAATGATATTACGACAGTCCGTTTGTGATTTTGGAGAAACTTGTTCTTGAAATTTCTCATTACCATAACAGGCAATTACAGAGCGTGCTAATTATTGAATGAAACCTGCAATATCTAATATTTGTAAGACTTTCTGTCGTATATTTTAACCTTGTGGGATCTCCAAATGCAAATTATCTTTCTGTGCCGGCGGTTGAGGTCGGTGTCGTCCTGGCAGTGAGGTTAGAATATCCCACCCTGGAGGTTAAGGACGAACGCTTGCGTTGGAAGGATGGAGGCGGAACCTGGCGGAGAGGAGGCTGCGGCAGACTCGTCAGTTGCCCAGCTATCATCATTGACAGACGACTCCGAACCGGTGGTCATATTGGTGCACTCTACGGGTGCAGATGCTTCAGTGATCGATGGAACTCGATCTGTTCCTGGGCCATCTTTCAGCGCCTCTGCTATGGCACCCGTCGTGACTTTGATCCAGCAGGTAAGTCCCCCTTGCTTGCTGTCATTTTTAGATTCAGCATATGCATTAATAGGGCCTTAACAGCCAAGAGAAGCAAATTTTACCAGAAGCAGGTGCTTCATTAATTTCTTTGAATAGACATAAAAATTTTGATAGTAAAAACAAGGCAATATTCTGAGTACAGGATTCCCAGTGGAAGGCAGAAAATGGAAAGTATTGCAATATATTTTATAATATTGACAGTGAAGCATGAAGTCAAGAGAAGTTCAGTAATGCGAGTAGATGCATTTATCATATTCTATTTATAATGATTTTTAGAATTACATTGCTCTTTAGAAGGATCTTCTGCTAAAGTGTGTGCATGCATTTAGTAGTCTTTACATCAATAGCATAGGATGGTTTGATTGCCAAAAAATGTAAAGATCAAAGTTGTTAATTTAGATTACTCTCCTATGATTTTTCTTTGTTTAATATTTCCATATTAATGTCTTCACCATACCATTTTTAGAACCAAAGAAAAAAATTTTGGGGAAGATTTACAAGAATCATAAGGTGGAATTTTCAAATAATTTTTATAATCGGTTCAGCACTTTAAACTATCAAGTTTTGTCATAAGTAGAAAAAAAACCTTTAGTAAGAAAATAATATAGGTAAACCATCTATTGTGGTATAAATTAATGATGCTGTCTTAGAAGATGAGCTTTACAGGGAATTTGGTTGGCACTGAAAGAAATATATTACTTTATATTTCAAAAACTTGTCTAAGTTTTCACCATGAAACTTTCACTGCAACAAGATAAAATTCATGGAATTTTTGTTTTTGGACAAATGTATTTTGAACCAGGTATCTTCTCCCCTTTAACAATTTACAAATAGATGTTAATGAAAAACAACTTGAATTGTAATTTTGGCATAGGAGATTGTGAAAAACGCAGAATGTTCCAAAGCTTCATTGATTCACATTCAGATTTTCTTGGATTCCAAATTATTTAAATTTACAAGCTATTTAAATTTAATGGTGTTGAGGTGAATGGAAATAAGTCATAAATGTGTCTTTGAAGAAAAATTTGAAATAAAATTTCATTGGATCATCAAAAAGCAGAGCTAAATAAAAATACGCAATTCACTATGTTCTAATTGTACATTTTTCATTTAGATGTATAGCTTTTGTCACGATTAACACGCTAACACCTTCATAAATAAGGTGGCCAACTTCATTTACCTAAACTTCATGAAGTTTCTCAAAGTGAGCATTAAATTGAGGGAGACAATAAGTTATTGTTTGCTTTCTCTACCTACTTGATTTTCATTTCCATTAGCGCCTTCTCGTCCTCTTTCACCTTCTCTTCCTCCTCCTCCTCCTCGTTGTTCGACCTTATCTCCTGCTCACCCTTGTACATCTCTACCTCTTCCTCGCTAGTCCCCTCATTTTTTAAGAAAACTACAAAAGGTAAACATTTGTTGACTTTTATCAGAAAAGTAATAATGATAAACGTTGTAGACTAGTATTGGATGCAAACTTCGTGCAAAGCGGAAAAAGTGTATAATTTCTCTGTTTAAAAGAATAAGTATTAATGTTACAATATATTGTTGATAAATGAAAGTAAATCGCATTGCCTGTCTCTACATCATGTGATAAACGGAAAAAAAACATTCCAAAGATGTAGCCCCCTTAGAAACCATGTAGTCAGTTGCCCAACAGGGATTCTAATGATGCTTTTTAGTTGAGAGACAGCCCAGTAAACCCAAAAAAATAGCCATGGATTGAAGCAAGTTATGAGAAAAGGCTATTCAAAAGTTGGTCTATTTCGTACCCAGATCAGATGCCCTCTTATGAACTGAAGTCAAGAGAAGGCTGTTCACAATGGTTGTTAAATATTGGACAGACGACTGTTTTCTTCAGAGATCGTTAGGGGCGGTCTCACCTTGTCAGTTACAGGCATTTTGCATGCCTACTAATTACGACAATGCTGTTGTCATCCATAATAGCAGATAAATACCATATTGAACTAAAAGGCGGGCGTAGGCTATCCAGAGGGACGAAAGATGCTTTGATCAGTGGCAAGATCAGAACGCAAGAGGAGGTTATCAAATTCGCATGCTGTCTGTATCGTTTACAAAAAGGCATACGACTCGACCACTCAGTTGGATTGTAAAGAACTTGGAAGTTTCAGGTGTCACTCAAAAAATCACGATGTTCGTCAAAGCATGTATCCGTCTGTGAAAAACCCACATTGCAGCAAAGAGACACACTGTAGTAAATGTCAGAAAATGTCAAGATATATTACGTACAAACCAGATCTCCCGTTTGCTCTTCGTAGCGGTTCTAATACACATACTCTTAGAAAGACCTTCGCCTCGTCGGAATTGTCACGCATTTGGGGGAAGAGGGAAACCCCATACATCTAATGCAAGATAAGTAAGGAATTTGCGCATGAAACATACGTTAATGTTATAGGTTCTGAAAATAGCCGTTTCACAGCAGTGAGATATTCGGGGAGAGGACAGCAGCGTGTCTACAGACGGCGTGCTCGACCAGCCGAAGTTTGTGAAAGATTCGACAGGCGGATGCAAGAGGCAGAAGCGCATATTTTAATATAGACATCTGTCTGTCTGACTGGATGACGGTATTGTGTGCGGGTGACGAGGTGTCGTATCGCACTAAAACCAAACTGTGTGTGCACTAACATCTCTGCACCGAACTCAACGGTGGAAATTGCACCTATCCTCTGAACATCTGAACCGTACTGGTGATCAAATTCGCTGCCGGATTACGAGTAATACTGGACTCTAGCAGACGTAGGTAATTAAGGGTCAGTCCAAGCAAAAACTATTGACAGCACATTGCGCTCTCCTCCCACGCTCCGAAGTTGACTGTTACTAATTTCTCCATATATTTGGAGGTCGAAGATGTCTGCAGAGAGGAGACTTTTCAAAGAAGCATGCACCAGGAGAGTACATCCAAAATTCAAGCGAGACATGACTTATTGCAATACGTAATACGACTATTCTTTTGTTACAAAGTGTCTGCTTCACCAGAGGAGAGGAAACGGCAGGAATATCGATCAAATTGGCATGGCAAGCGGCTCTCCATTCGTTGTGCCGTGTTTGGGAAAGTGGACGACTCGCTCCTTTGAGGGCTGGCTGCGGGTTGAGGACTAATGTTTTATGACCAATGCCTAGAGCATGTGCAGACCGCAATAGCAAACAGTGTGTCATGTTTATAATCAGTGTATAAAGTAAATTTGTACAGATTAATTACAAATAAGACTATGACAGTGGCCTCCGTGTTATACTGGAATCTGTAAGGAAAATTTTGCTTCCAGATGCTTCCAGAACTGATAGAAGTAAAAACTCGGGAGGGATGTCAAAAACTCAAAGGTAAAACGAATTTTTAAATGCAGATTCATCGATTGGATCATAACAGTGCCTGACCGTACCGCCCTGGGAAAGAAGCAGGTTGTTAATGTGCACAGCCATCATGGCAAATGCCATAATAGTAGAGAAGAATGTTAAAAAATTATGAAGTATTATGATCAGTGGGGATGACCTAAAACATTGCCAAAAATGATTAATAAATGCTCTTAAAGTGCTTTTAAAGTGCCCTAAAATCAAAGAAAAATTACGTAAAAAAAAATTGATCAAACACACTTGAGAGGAACTACTCAAACTGTTGTTCTCGTGCAATCGTTTCTCGTGCTTCTTCCTTTTGTTCAAGCGAAGTCGGCTTGCAAACTTTGCGTTTGGACTGTTCTTTAAAAAAAAATCTCTGCCTTTATTTATCGCGAAATCTGCAGAACTGACAATGGTGCCGAGAAACGTCACAGGAACCTCAGATTACATAAAACAACGGCTGACATTACAAAATGTGAGCGAAGAAATCGAATAGGCTTCTCAAGAATTCTGTAAACATTTGTTGCACCTCATAAATGTTGTTTGAAGCAAGTACCATTAAAATTATATTAAAGTCGATTATATAGGCAAAAAATGCAGTAAAAATGACGTAACAATGTAAAAAAATGGCTTATTAGTCAAAATCAACGAAAATGCAAAAAACAAAAACAACATAAAAATGGGAGATTTCGTTTTGTCATAACATAAAATGAATATCTACACTACATGGTATTGTTCTAAAATGAAAAAAAATTTCATTAAAATCCGCTCCCTAGTGATTAGCACTTAGAATTGGAAATACTCTGGAAACCAAAGATTATGGTTGTCTCAGTAATTGGAGCCTTAGGGGCCATACCCAGAGGCGTGAAAAAGCAAACTGGCGCCTACCCTAGGTCTGCATATGGGTCTTTAGCTTACAAACTACAAAATACCCACACTATTGGGCACCTTTCACTTTCTCCTTAAATCCTTGGGGGTTCCTAGGTCCTTGGGTAGGTACCAACAAAGTAACTACTAGTCTAAGATCAGAACAATGTAGCTACAAGATCAGTTTGTTTGCCATTGTTTATATCCGTACACGTCTATTTCTAGTGATTGATGAATTAATTAAGTCATTAATTTTTTTCATTGTTGATTTATATATTTTATTGAATCATGTTATTGATATAATATAAGAATAAAATAGATGAACTAATAATATAATTATAAATGTTTCTCTGAAACAGTTTTGAGATCTAATTTCTGTGAATATGATTTCTAGGGAGAAGATATTCCTTCTCTTGGATCATCTGCACCCTCTCTGATAGACAATGATCAGACTATGGTGTTGGCATCTGGAGATGATGAGAGTCTAAATAATCTTGTAGGATCAGTTCCAGCAGGTGAAGGTGGTGCTGATCAATGCGTAGCTTTATTTCAAACTGAAAATGGTCAAATAGTGTGCTTGACTTATACGGTATGTATACTGTTTCTCATAATTTCGAAAAATATTGTGAACTGTCTAAGATTGTGTTGTACCAAATTTTATGTGTATTATTACTCAGTGTCATAATATAATATTAGAAAAATATCATTTTATTTTTCTTTTAAATGGCAGTTTTATTTAATTCGTTTAGGACTCTAGATATTCTGGGAAAAAATTCTGTGAAAGTTGTAATTTTATAAACATCCAAACAATCTTTTCAGCAGTAGCTTACTTCACTGCTGTTTGTTAAAGGTTTTGTTTGTAGTGTAAGTTTGTGGTTGAAGAAGAATTTCTCACTTTGTGATGTGAAATCACACCTACGACTAATGTAGGAAAAAAAAGAGCAAAAAAAAATGTAGTCTTAACAGTCCATTAAAATCTGATAAAAACTGTGTGTGACCTTCAATACTAATTGCACACAATAATTCAAGGTTACATTTCAGTATAATATAACTCTGATGTTATTTTTCAAGAAGAAAAATATACAGAATTTTCTAAGCTAATTACACTTTGAAATTCAATGATATTTCTCAAACTGAAATAACAATTGAATGTCACAATATAAGAGAATTATACTTAGCATTGTCTCTGATTGCACAATGTAATTACCATTCTGATAGCTTTCATATCTTGTATAAAGAATTATCTGGATAGCATGAAAAAATCCGTAAGTACTGCGATAAGTAGTTCAAACTGGGCTGTAGTGCCATTGGAAGGAAAAAATTAATTATTTAATTTGTATTGTTAATATGACCCCATAGACAAGTAAGTTTCCTTTCTTTGAACCAGGAGGAATTTAATATTTATAGATGGTTGTCTTCACAGGTTGCCCCAATAAATGGAGAGGAGGCAGATGAAGAAAATGTAGCTGATGTGTTGGGTACAAATAACACAGCTGGCCTAGGCAGCTTTGATATTGTAGATGGGCTACAAGAACACTTTATTTTGGATGGGCTAAATGCAAGTGCTTCCATTGCTGTCCCTAGTACATCTGCAGATGTACACATTTCCACAAATTTGTTGTGCAATCTGAATGAAGCCAAGAGAACACCAAAAAAGGTTAGATTCAATAAAATCTAAGTTTTGGTGTACATTTCTATAATTTCTAGTGCCTGACCTTTTTGTCTAATAACATTATAATAACAGATGGCAACTGAAGGAGCAGTAGGGAATTGCAGATAACAGAAGGTCCTGTCTTTTGCATAGTAGTTGGGAATTATGTAAATTTGTTGAATGCCTATATTGTTGGGAAGTAACCTACATTTTTATTTCATTTTCATTGAACATAAACCTTAATGGTTTTCTATGAATAGATGAACACTCAACTTTTTGGCCAAATTGCTCATTACTGTTTTCTTGGCCCATATATATTCATACTCTAACTTTTATATAAGAGATTTAACAAGACTCTGTTAATTATAAGTGTAATTTTTCACATTGTATTTATTTAATAAATTGGTATTGGAAGAAGTAATGAATGGCACTACAGGTGAAGGCGCAGGAGGAAGTGCCGGGATTGGTGTCGGTGCCTGTGGAAGCGCTGGGGAAGCTGCGGTTGGAGGATCGACTACGCGTGCTGGAGCAGTTGCTGCCCCCACCCCCGCTCACCGCCTCCAGATCTATCTCGACTCCGCCGTCGGGGCGTGACGCCAAAGGGAAGCGCAGTCTTCCGAAGGGCCCACCTCCGCCCTTGCGGCCGCGCCCACCAGCCACAGCCGAACCGACCGCTCCAGTTCCGGTTCCCACCTCTCGCCCGATCCCCAACCCTAACGCTCTCCCTGTGCCGCCGACGTCTTTATACGCGTGCGACCTGTGCGGCGCGTGCTTTGAGCGGCCCGCGCAGTTCTACGGGCACTTGCGACGCCATCGCGGCGAGCGCGTGCACTTATGCTCGCTGTGTGAGGGGCCCTCGCCTCCAGAGTTCTCTTCGGCGGCCAAGCTACGTGCGCACGAGCACCGTCACCACCCGGGCGGGCGGCCGCACGCGTGCCTGCTGTGTCCCGCGCGCTTCGACCGCGCCTCGCAGCTCAGCTATCACACGCGGCGCGTGCACGCGGGCGAGCGCCCGCACGCCTGCGCTCTCTGCCCGAAGGCCTTCTTCAAGTCCTCAGACCTGCGCACGCATCTCAACGTACATCTGGGCATTCATAAGAGCGTATGCGAGACGTGCGGCCGGCGCTTCGGACACGTGAGCAACCTCATTCGCCACGCTCGCACGCATTCGGGTGTGCGACCGTACCCATGTCCCGACTGCGGCCGGCGCTTCGGGCAGCTCAACGGCATGCTGCAGCACCGTGCCTCTCACAACGACGCGCGGCGATTCCCCTGCCCGGCATGCGGTCGCCTCTTCAAGACTGTGGCTGTCATGCGCAAGCACTCGCGCACCACGCACGGCGCCTACCCTCCGCCCTTCCGGCTGGGAGGTCCAACCCCTAGCTCGAGCGTAGGCTCTGCTGCCGAGGTCATAACCCCCGACGACCCCGACCTGGAAGCCCTCGACACAGAGCCTCGCCCCCGCCCGCGCCGCTTCTACTGCGCTGCATGTGGCGACGCTTTCGAGTTCGCCGCACTGCTTCGCCAACACGAGCGCCAGCATGAGGGCGGCGAGTTGCCTTGCGGTGGTTGCGGGCGCACGTACGCGTCTGTCGAGGAGCTCAAGACGCATGCGTGCGCTCAGCCCGGCGTCGCCCGGCCTTCTGCTCCTGCCTCTAGGCCTCATTCTCCTCCTCTCCCACCACCGCATCCTTCTCAACCGATCTCACCGCTCCCGCCTCCGCAGCCTTCACCCCCGCCTCCGCCTCTATCCCTGGAGCAGTCGGTTCCCGTCCCAGTTTCGGCCCCCGTGTCTGCCAGCGATCTCAGTGAGGGGCAGCGGCTGCTAGAGTCGTTACTGCTAGGAGACGCGCCTGTGGAGGAAGGACAAGGGGTGGAAGCGGAAGTGGTGACGGATACTCTAGTAGAGGGGGAAGTGAATGGCCTGATACCGACGCCAACGTTGGCAACGACTGAGAGCCCTGAGGTAGTCGACAGCAAGATCGTGGTTATCGTTACGTCCGGAGCCCCACTCAGAGACGTTGCTCGCGAAGGTGGCTCTGAGGACGACGGCGACGCTGGCATGCCACTGCTGGTATTGCGCCCCCGCTCGGCCCCCTTGCCGCTCCCGCCTGCGCCGGTCGCAGAAGCGGTGACGCTTGCTTCTGGTATCGATTCCCGCTCTCCTTCGCTGCTTTCCAGGGACAGTCACTTACAGGACATAGCGAAACAAGCGGCCAGTTCTCCCGACAATCCTCAGATTGATCCCTCCGCCCCCGCCGTATCAGGACCTTCTCCCAACACCGTCGGCCGCCGCAAGGCAAACCGAACTTTCTCGTGTTCTGAGTGCGGGAAGGTATTCCTCAAGAGTGGCAACTACAAGCAGCACCTCGGTAAGTATTATCTTACAGTAATATATAAATTCAAATTATAAGATATCTGTTAATTACTGTGAAGGACCATTCACAGGGAAGTCAATCAGCTAATTTTTATGCAATGCTTTTGATTAGTAGTATCCGTGTACCATGTTTTATTTAAAGTCTATTTAATAATAACTGATAATGGGGAAAGCTCTAGGTTTGCCAAAGTTAAGCATCCTGTCAGTTCCAATGTTTTGGTTGTCAAAAGCATTGCATTTAGGTGTAGTGTGAAAACTATTTGGACTGTAATTCTCCTACCCTTTCTCATCAAGATTTCTCTGAGAATTTATATAGCTGTAATGCATAAAAAATTGTTTTTATTTCCTGCTGGTCTATAAACCTAAGAGGAAAAGACAGGCAGAACTTACTTCAAAAAGCTTACCAGAAAACTTTCAAATTTGTTGGGAATTTTTGGGATGATTGTTGATCATGTGACCATGTGAAAGGCCAGCAGAGGAATTATGTTGTGTATACTGATGCACAGATTGGTTGGGCAGGCAATTATTTACAATAGTTTGATAGCATCCAAAACATTGTGGTACGTACCAATAGTAAACACCTGTTCTCTTCTAATCTTTTTTTTTATTTTCATTCCTTCATTTTTTTTGTTTGTTTCTTTTCTCTTGTTTTATTTGATTTGATTTTGTTTTATATTTCAGTTTTTGAGAGAAATATTAGACATGATTCCATCCAGATAAAAGGGGAAAATAAAAGTGTTACTAATGATATGAGATAGTTGTTTCATAATACACTGAGATATACTTACGTGGTAATGTGTGGGGAACATGAAAAGGAGTGGAAAAAGAAAAACAAAAGAAAGAAAAGGGACAAAAGTATCAATTCAATACACAAAAAAATTATCAAATCTCCCCAATTAGGGGGTTCATTGAGCTGCACGATTTTAACAAAGGAAGAACACAAAGCAATATTATCAAACTTTATTCAAGACAAAATTGAATTAAAATGTTTGGTGATATTTGAATTGTGTTTTCTGGTGTGATGGTTTGTAGTGATTGAGCTGTTTGCATCTCCCTCTATGACTTTTCACGGGTAAATGTCTCTTGGATAAACGTCACAGACACAGTATGTTTCTGAATAGGATCTGAAGTCAAATTAGTGGAAATCAATAGAAAAAGTAAAGAAATGGAAAATAGTAAGCATAGGAAACGATACCAGTTATTTACATCAATGAATACATGCAACTCTTCACTCAATGATCACAAAAGACTGACATTCAAATCTTGCAACCTTTCTTTCAACTACTGTTTTATTATCTGCAGGAATGCATTTTGTGGACCAGAAGAACCATAAGTGCCCTATATGTGGCCAGCTTTTCGCCTGGAAGTCCACTCTCAATAAGCATGTCTCCAAAGTTCATGCAGAAGGGGAACCACCTCCTCGACCCCCTTGTGAGCTCTGTGGCCGTGAATATGCCACTCTTGCCCAAGTCCAGGAACACATTCGGCGCGATCATTTTCTACAGAGGCCCCATGCTTGTTCTGAGCCCTCCTGTACCAAACGTTTCTATAAGAAGCATGATTTAAAAGTGCACCTCAGGTAAGTGTGAATTGTGTGTAAGTTTCATTATTATTTCTGCATCTTTGTTCACACTCCCTACCTTCAGGTAGTGAAGGTATACAAAGACTACCAATTGTGCACTACCTGTTGTGGAATGTACAATTCGGAAAATGTACAATGAATAATTCACTTTTACTGAAAGGGTCATGAAGTACACAGTAATGGTGTACTGTCCCTCAACTTCCATTTTCACTACAACTAATTTATATAACAGGCTCACATGTTTAAATGATGACCATCTTTAACAATAATCATTATTGGTGGTGTTGCAGGATGCACAACAAGGAGCGGCCATATATTTGTGGAAGCTGTGGCAAAACCTTCTACCACTTATCACATATTATCAGGCATGAGCGCATCCATTCAGGATTGCGACCATATAAATGTACCGATTGTGGCCGCCATTTCAATCAATCAAGTGCTTTGAAATGCCATAGGTAAGTTAAATATACAATTTAAGTTTATATTTCTTAAGTATGTTACTGTAACTTTTTTAAATTGTGGAGCATTTTTCGATTCTAAGAAGGTCAAAGAAATGTGTTAATAGTTGATATGCTGACAGGCGCACACACACACGCGCGCGTACACACACACACGCGCGCGTACACATACACACGCGCGCGTACACATACACACGCGCGCGTACACATACACACACGCGCGTACACACACACGCGCGTACACACACACACGCGCGTACACACACACACGCGCGTACACACACACACGCGCGTACACCCACATGTGCGTACACACACACACGCGCGTACACACACGCGCGCGCGGATGTTCACATTATCCAAAATAGATGGATGAAGCCTGATGATATACAGAAATATGTTACAATGATGAGGAATAGTAGATATTACATGATCAACAGAAATCTGACTGTTAATGACAAGGTTCCAAGGCTAGTAGTAGACAATGTGTCTAATTTAGAGCTCTGTTGTGCCAGTCACAAATTTCCATTTTCACAGTACTTCCTTACCTGATCTAACCTCATTAAATACCTCACTTGATCCTTAGCTACACGTTTCTCATTTTTAGTGTAAGGCTTGCGATGTACATAATACTACCTTGAGTCTGTGCACATTTCTTAAGTATTAAATACACAAGATTCCTCATGCTTGAACAGTCACCTTACATTGGCCAGTGTCCCGAATTTAATGCCAGCTTAGCAGGATGATGTCCCAAAAGATCAGTTCATAATTCATAAAACATTATCTAAATGGTGTGACTAGTTCAAGAATTAGCCACGTATATTTCTTTATTCTCCAGATTATCCAAATTTTTATTCATTTCAACAAGTACTTTTCCATCCAGTGATCAATATCCCGTTGAGAAAATGAGTATCATAATCCTTATTTTGAAGTTCAGTTCGATGCTATTTCTGAAATATTGTTTGATGTCTGTTCTGAATTAGGCTGATATTATTTTTATTATAAATAGTAGATAATTGAATATGAGTTTTGTACATTGTAGGAGAAGACATCGTGAGAAGGAGCACGTGCTGCAGCAGTTGCAGTTGCAGTTTCAACACCAACAGGATCAGGAAGAGATTCAGCAACTGAACAGGAAGTCCAATGAAGAAGACCAGTGCCTCTTAGAAGAACAAGTACTAGAGGGAACTGGGTTAGAAGCAGCAGGTCTAGGAACAGTAGAGCTTGATGCACCTACTCTGGAGACTGCAGAAGATGCAGCATCATTATTGACTGCTCCAGGCTTAGAGGGAGATCCTCCTGAACCGTTAGTTGAACTCACAGTCACTGATGCAGAAATGGTCCTTGGACTGCCAAGTAGTGTATTTTCGCAGGGCCTTTTTCCCGATGTAAACTAAGGATCTCAAATATCCATAATGTTGTACAAGACTGAAATTTGACTTTGTCAAAAATTCTGTGATTGTGTGTGTGTGTGTGTGTGCGTGTGGGTGTGTGGGTGTGTGTTTGTGTGTGTATGCATATATGCTTGCAATTAATAAATGAAAGTATTTATGACTTAAAAATAATAAATATATTTTTCTATTGATTTTTTATTTTGTTCTTCACCAATGTATCTTAGTACTCACTGGTCTAGTGTGTTAGCCCTTTTTTGAAACAACTAATGTTCTATACTATGAGCAGTACTGGAGCAAAACAAAAATAGTCCACCAGCTACGTACGTCCCTCCCCGTCCCACTACTTATCGACTAGCCTCGTCCTGACCAAGCTCCCTGCCCTGCCCTGCCCTGCCCTGCCCTGCCCTGCCCTGCCCTGCCCTGCCCCCTGCCCTGCCCCCTGCCCTGCCCCCTGCCCTGCCCCCTGCCCTGCCCCTGCCCTGCCCCCGCCCTCCCCTGCCCTGCCCCCGTGCCCTGCCCCCTGCCCTGCCCCTGCCCTGCCCCCCATGCCCTGCCCCGCCCTGCCCCCTCCTGCCCCCGGCCCTGCCCCTTGCCCTGCCCCCTCCTGCCCCCTGCCCTGCCCCCTTCCCTGCCCCCTCCCTGCCCCTGCCCATGCCCCCTGCCCTGCCCCCTGCCCTCCCCCTACCCGCCCCCTGCCCTGCCCCCTGCCCTGCCCCCTGCCCTGCCCCCTGCCTGCCCCCTGCCCGTGCGTGCAAATTGTGATGAAAATTACCACTGGCATTAAGACCACTAGCAGTAGTACCTTGGTCTTATCACAATCATAATTGCTGGTTGTTTTTAAATTTTTTTTTTATCATTACTCGTGAAAATCAGTATATATCATTTATATATTATCATTTACTGTCGCGTTAGTTGTTCGCGCCCATCCCCCCCCCCCCCCCCCCCAGTCCCGACATACCCGAACTGCTCCACTCGTACCAGAGAGTATAAAATTAGTGGGAGGTCGGTTTCGAAGTTTTTGCTAGAGCTATCGGTCAAGAGGCAGCCACTTTGAAGGCATACTTCTAATTTTTTTATGTTTGCCAAAGCTATAGAGCTCTCGACAATGAGGTGCATAATGGCGACCTACCATAAATCATCAGCTTCCCCACACGGCGCTGAAAAATAAGGAATTTCCCAGCCTAAACAAGTGACAGACCCCTGCTCGGTGTACCATCTAGCGCTTGCCCACGCCCGGCAGAAGCGCGCGAACGTCAATCATCAGCTCTTCCGCGACGACCGGACAAAGGGACCGAAGCAGGTACCTGCTGCGGTCCCTTTGTCCGTCGTCGCCGGAGGGTCGGCGAAGAGCGCTGATGATTGACCGTCGCGCTCTGCTGTGGCGGCGTGGGCAAGCGGCCAAACCCTGATCATGCATCTTCCCGGACACCAGTACAATTTCTAAACATCTAAATGCATTGTGTGTTGCATCAGACCAAATTTAGGAGTAATGTGAACTGCCGTCGTTCCCCATCATTTTGTTTCTCGATGGCTCAAAATTATTTTATCTATAGTGCAAAATTTGTTTGAAGTCGCTTCACACTTCTGGAACACACATTCACATTGGTATTGTAATAATGAACAGAAAATCAATTACTGAAAAGTTATGCAAGATAATCAAGAACTTAAATTGCAAAACATTAAATTGAAAGAAAAAAAATGCGGCCTCATTTCGTGCTTAAACCACCCATTTTATTTGCCACTGAAAAGGCTATTAGAGATGGTCGCGGAGTTTGCTTGTTGCAAACTCAAAGCTTTGGTGGCAATACAGTTATGTGCTGATAATTAAATGTAAATCGTTGATAACAGTTCAATGCCAAATACTCTTTTTCGTGTTGCAGCTTTTTACAGCTCTAATAATGTCGGTTTGTTCTCTATGTTGCTTGATCTAAAGGAAACTGAAATTGATGGAACTATAATGAGTAAATGCCATCTATTGGTGAGACTCGCTATTATAAGCACATGCTATGGAGAAGGTTTATTTGCGTCTCTCTTGTTTCGTACATGTCAATGAGGTTAGGAGTATATTCTTGGTTTAGTCTGCTACTGTCACGGTGTGAAAGAACAGTATCTTACACCGTGACTAGCAATTTCGTTAACTGAACAACGATAATACGATATACCGTAAACAACGCATGGAAGAAATTGTGTGACGTGTGAAATAGTGTTGCTTGGACAGTCTGCAGATGTTCTGTGGTTCGACCTCTCTGGTTCTATACTCTCTGGTAAAGAACTTGGAAAAGTGCAAATAAAGTAAAAAAGGTAATGAGCCAGTTCAGTAAACCGATGTTGATAAACTTAGCCATGTTTCTGGTTACCATCATGCATGGCGCTTGGAAAGACCTACCCGCGTAGATATTATAAAACATCAAACAAGCATTGTAAATTTGTTAGTGATGGGCGAGGATACTCCAACCGCCTGTTTATGGACTGTTACGGATTGCAGTCGTGGTGGGAATGTGTGTAGATCAGTAACAGATGGGAAAGGGTATTCGTTCAGTTATTATGGCAGTAATGTAAATGTTACTTCAAAATTGTTAAAAAAGTTGTCAGATGTTCTCGTGCCAGAATCAGTGATTAAAGGTGATTGTTAAATTCATGGAGAACATATATGCAATAGTGATTGTCAAATGATTTTCAAGTTTAAACCATCTGTTTATTAAAGTTAAATATCCAGGTTGAAGGAACATTATTGAACTTTGCAATGCACCACTTTCGGCAGGCTACTGAGGGTTATGGGTAAGGCAAAGTTTAAAATGAAATTATCTGGATGTTTTTGGTTTTCAAAATAAACAAGTCATTAAATTATTTATAAGTAATATTAATTTCCATCCAAAAAGTGGTTTAGTTTTTATAGTAAAATATTTGTAATATTTCACTCTTTATGTTGAACCTACACAATACAAATGTTTTGAAAGTTAAGAAATTTTAATTTAAGGGTATAAAAATGGTTGTTTTTTAATATTTTGTTCAAAAATCAAGAAATACTTCAGATCAAAATTATTCTGTGTTTTATATTTGCTTGAAACACCATTCTTGAAACTGGATTTCAGTAGCATCAGTTAACCCCCTCACAATATAGAGAATGAAGTGTCATCCTAACGGGCAGGCCTGCACTAAGTGACATTGTTGAAGGGGCACCATACTATATTTTTTATTCTAAAAGAAAATAATATTTTTAAAATTTCAATGAAAATATTTACTTTTTTGTGTGTGTTTAATAAAATCAGGAAAGTTTAGGTTTGTTTCTCGCTAATGTAGAAAATTGAAGATAATAGAAATAATGATGGCACATCTGAATAATATTCCAAATAAATTTAAGGAAAAAATAAATGTTCAATCAATTAAGCAATAAATTATTTATTAAAATAAAAAGAATATTGCTATTATTTAATAAAGTATTTCAAAAGTGGAGTAAAAAACTTGAAATTATTCCACCATTTCCACTCTGAGTCACATCATCTGTAGGAACACTACTGAGTGAAAGTATTAATAACTGATTGTGTACATTATGGCGGGTTATAATAAATATTCCTTGGGCTCCTGCATTCTTTTTTCTCAATTATGTGTTAATTGTAGTGCTCTCTTGTGACTAGTTTCGGAAATATACAGAAAAAAATGAACGATGGCCATTCCACATCAGAGGTTGGAAGGTACGGTTCTGGTATTTATTTTTATTTAATTGAAATCAGAGGTTTTCAGGCGTGAGAAAGTGTGTAATATCCTTCATATTGATCGAATGTTAATTCTTATTAATAATTCAACTTAGTAGACCCTAACGTTTTTTCTGAATAGGAATGCAAATGTTAGTATGTTCAATTGTAGGCAAAATTACTCAGTGGCTGTATCTCTTTTTGTTTGCCTATGAACCGCACGGCTGATTCTTTTGTATTTTGTCAATATATTTTGCTAGCACGTTCCATATCATTGTATTAATTCTAATGCAAGTCAATATATTAATTTATTGATCTTCTAACAGGTCTTGAACCTGATGATGCTTTATTTTTTATTGGAAGATGGAAATGTATCTTCCATAGATGGTTGGAGCAGTGACGAGGAAGAAAAAGATGAAATTTCTGGTATTGCATCGGCCTTGACCAAAAAGAACTGCAGGATCTTACGTGTCATATTTTAGAAGAATCAAGTGATGAAGAGCAACACAAAAATGAACATGAGAAAATACTAGATTTTCAATGTAATATGACACCAAAAATACTTATATCATGGCGCCATCATGTGAAAATTGATGTGTTGAGTATACCTGAAATAACTCAAAGTAATGAGAATATTATCTCAGAGATACCATAACCAGAACTGAATTGGGAAATCCTTAAGATCTTTGGGCTAGGGGCATCATTGAGGGCTAGGGTTTTACATTGAGGATTTGAAACAAAAACATTAGCTATATTTTGATAATTATTTTTGCTCTTACAACCTTCTGGAAACTCTAAAAGAAAAAGGTATTTTTGCTGCTGGTACAGTTACAGTAAATAGATTTAACAATCCTCTTATTTCTGACAAAGAAATTAAGAAAATTCCAAGAGGTTACTGTGAAGAGGTTTGCAGTAGAGAGTGGAAAATCACTATAGTCAAATGAAATGATAACAAACCAGTCAACCTAGCATCAAATTTTCTTAGAGTAGGAGAAAAGGACAATTTAAGATGGGATAAGAAAAAGAACTTTGTTAGTATAGAGAGACCCGAGGTGATACAATCATATAACAAGTCAAAAGGAGGTGTTGATAAGTTAGGTTTTCTAATTAGCCTTTACAGAATATCTGCTAAAACAAGGACGTGGACTGTTAAAATGATTTTTTATGCCGTGGGTTTGGATATAACTGACGGTTGGATTGAATATGTCAATGATGCAGGAATGAGTGTCCAAAACCGAAACCTTAGACCTTCCTTTTAGGCTAAGAGTAGCAGATGCACTGATAAATGAAGGAAAGACCTCTAAATGAAGATAATAGGAAGCATAATGTAATAAAACAAAGGAAAAATACAGAGGCAAGACCAATTGATGAAGTATTTCTTTATACTACTGACCATCTACTTGTTCACAATAATGCACTGCCTGGAAGATACAAGAAAAATAGGTGTAAAGAGAAATCAAGATGGCGATGTCAAAAATGTCAAGTATTCTTGTGTCTTCATAAAGATAGAAATTGTTTTCGTTTTTATATTTACATCATAAGAAGTATACGATACAGTTTGAACTCCAATGACTTTTGGTTGCTTTAATATATTTAATTACAAATTTAAGAAAATATTTCTTCAAAATAACTGGCAAAAATACTTAAAAAAAAATTTTTGTGAACTGGTAATGTGTGTTATTTTATTTTTTCCTATCATAGAATGTACTTGTAGGAAGTATGACAAAAATAGGTAAATATGCTTTTAAATGTATGTGTAAGAAAGAATAATGTTCATAGAAACGGGTGACCAAAATCCAGACATTTGCTACTGTTGAGTAATTTTGTCTCCAATTGTAGACATGCTATAACTTTCAAAATTATGAACTCTTATGAATAAAAATCATTATGACTACTTAAAATGGTCCCCTTTCTTCAAATTTTACAAATAAATAATTTTCCCATTGCTGGGAAAAAGTCGTGACCGAAAGGGTTAAAATCAGCCCCCTGATAATCAGTTTAATTGAAAAAACTAATGATATATGATATGATATGATATGATATGATAAAACTACAAACATTTCCCCCCAAAAATTATATAAATTATTAAAACTTTGTTATTCCTGGAGTGTTATTTTTTAGAAAATGAAATCTCTCTTGTGTTGAACTTTCATTGTCAAAGTGTAATAAGTGATTCTACAACAGCTTACACGTTCTTGGATTATTTTAAACATAAAGAATTTTCGAAAATTCAAAGTTTAATGAAAATGAAACTTGTGCCATTTTCATTAACATACTTCACACTATCTGTAGGAAAGTAAAGGAAGCGTTTTTGAGAATTTTTTAATAAATTGAATTAACTTAGAGCAAAAATTACCCAAATCACTTTTTGAAAAAAATGTGCCTGACCCTATTCAAAGGTAAATTTTTAGAACATTTCATCAAGGAAAGAATCTCATCAATATTGTATTTTTGTTAATTTTTTGCAATCTTCGAAAATTCAGTTCGCCGAAAACGAGAGCTGCGCCAATTTTTAAGCGTCTAATGCCAGAACCCTCTCTACAAGTGGAGAGGGAGCAATTAATCTTCTACCCTAATGAAAAAAGGAGCTTTGAGAAAATGTTTGTTTAGAAAATTACTCTTATTTCGCAAAATTAGACGAAAACTACTAATTGTTTCGAAAAATTGTGCATTATGATTGTCTTTGAAGAACAGATTTCATTGAGGAAGAAATCATTACCTTTAGTGTTGTAGTAAGAAGAAAAAAATGTGTTCTTTTGCAGGTTCTGAATAATGGAGAATTTCAACGAAAATGGGACCCGCGCCATTTTGAAGCGTCCTTTACGCTGTTTGAGGAAAAAGTTAAATAAAAAAATAAGCTATTTTTCAGAAAAAAATAGAAAATAGCATTGTGTCATTATGTAAAGGGTCCGCAAATATCAAGATATTCGTTTCAAACTCTCAGGGCCTCGAATTCGGTCAGATTGATGGTGGATTATGAGTTTTGGGGTAAAACGGCTGAACGATTTAGGACACACAGGCCACAAACGGACACACAGGCGTTTCGCCGTCGACCAATTTTTCGGTATATTCTATGCCTGACAGGGGAAAGTGGCATCGTGTGATCTGAATATGGTGAAACTTGTTTGAAAATGCATTATTATATATGAAAACTTAAACGTCTAGAAATAATAGATATAGAGGATAAAGTTCGTTATTACTCAGGACCAAATTATTATTTTATTTCCGACGTAAAAATTGCGTTGAGAATTTTACAGTTATTCGTATCACAGAGTAACAACAGCAGCGCGGCATTGACAAAACTAAATCTGGTTCTCCTAGAACAGGGACTGTTAGAAAACAACTTAACATGGTGGGCGACTCAATCTCTGGTCGAGGATGGTGAAAAATCTGTCAGTGTGCATCGAGCGGCTTCCTCTCCCCCCACCCCCCCCGTCCCGAGAGAATGGTCTTCTGTGAAGTCATAGAGTAGAGATATACTGTATCTCTCCTCTATGTGTGAAGTTCGGTTGTGTCCGCCAAGATTCACGCCCCACAGTAGATCAATTTCATGCATGACTCGTTTCAGACGAAATTTTGCGAATCATGATTTCCCTTTGAGTCACTTGAATTCTCAGCGCTGTGCACGAGTTCTGGATTTTCGCGAGATTCTATTGGTACTCACATTCTGGACGAACTTCTTGATGGGAGGCGATTTCACGATATGTAACTATTCTACATTTTCATTGTTGAGGAATATTTTGTTAATACTGTAATTTGTGCAGTTAAGGCGCCTGTCGTTCCCTTTTGTTGTGTGTTCTAGATCCACGGGTGTGGCATCCAGGTAAGCTCTACGGACTTCCCTCTCGCATCTTATCCAAGCCCTTCATTTCCAAACTTCTAAGGGCACGTGCGTGGAGAGAGCGAGACAGAGTCTCATAGAGCCATATCCCAAGTCAGTTCCTTTTAGACAATTTTCTTTATCCACGAAACTGAAGGTGGAAGATACCGGTCTTAAGTAATTAATTCTTACATGGGTTCTAGATTCTGTCATTTAGGTCTTTCTTGAAAATCGAACATCACGTTTCACTCGTTTACTCCAACTTTGCCAAGTCACTCCTTCAGACGATTGCAGGATACTGCCTTTTTTTCATGAACCTAAGCGTTTGTATGTAAAACTGAAAAGTTTCATCCTCATCTTTCTAGTTTCTGAAATGCAAATTGTTGTCGACACATCGTGTCAGACAAACCGTCAAATGCTCGAGACTCACAAGAACTTGTCTCATTTGTTCTTTATTAATTATAAAACGGGTTAATTTCTGCATCTTTTATCAAAGACACTTATTACAGGTATACTACAAGAAAATAATGCACATAAATTATTACCACCTGAACCGTTGCGATCACATCGCACAAAAAGGGGAGGTGTGGAAAACTATTACATACTCACTAAACGGCAAATCAAAAACCCATAAACCATTTTTACTTTCCCGTAAACGTACAAAGTAATAACCATAGTTTAGGGAAAGTTATGTAATGCTGCGGAAAATCGATTTCGAGATTTCAACGGAAATACTCGTTTTGGGGTCCCCTGATACTGAAAAAGTGTTTTTTTTCACACCGTCGGTCGGTCCGTCTGGTGTATGTGAACAACACTAGCACCTAAACCATGCGACGATTTTTTCCAAATTGAAGGAACCCCTGTCCATTTGGCCTGGTTCGAAGTTCTGCGATTTTGAAAATTATTCATTAGTTTTGGGGGATACTTTACATTAAGCCCTTAGGACATCTTCAAAAGTTTCTCAAAAATGGCTCCAAATTTTCTCTTCAAATTTCTTGTAAGAATAGAGTAAAAGGCACTTATAAATGTGGCTTAAATCCGATTTTCTCGGTTAACTCTAAATTTTAAAAACTTTCAAAAGTTAGATTTTTTTCGGGGTCTTCTATCAACAATAAGATTAAAGATAGAGATTTTTTCTTCAAATAAAATTTGTTGTCCATATCTAGTTCTTTCGTTAAGGTCACATACATTTCTTTGAAAATTTTAGTTGTTTTCGCGCAATATTGCGTGCAATTTTAAAAAATTACAAAAACCAGATTTTCTCAAAAATTGCTCCAAATTTTCTTTACACTTTTGGTAAAAATTGTGCTAAATTCAGCGTGCAGTTGAAATGTTTTATATTTATTAAGATCTGTTGTGCGATATGGGCTCCGGCCTTACCACGACATACCCATCATTGCTTGTAGCGTGCGGTAAGCATGAAACTCCTCAAAATAGTATTTCTCAGGGAAATTGGATAACTTTTACTCCTCACCACTCTGTAAGACTACGGGAGAGTAGTATTACTAAAACACGAGACGACGCTTTGTTTTACAAATAACCAGGTTTATTCTAATTCCTATCGAATTTAAATAAATGGTTGAAAAAGGCCGAAATTTCGCCGAGCGCATGACACATTTTAGATTTCTGTAGCTGCTTTAGCTAACTTCTGAACTTCTTTGTTATAATAGTGCATTGTGATTTTGATTAATAGTCGTATTTCACCTGTACTATATGCCACGAACTCGATCTTATCGACTCTTCTTTCTCACCGGTCCTCAGGCGCGTCCTTCCACATCATGAAGAGAAAGTAGGTTCGCTTTTAATGGTTGCACGCAGTCACAGATGTGACGAATGGAGGACGATGACCTCCGTCGATCGTCCCTTCTCAGAGTGGAAGACGCGGACCACTCCGAAGTGGCACCGCTTTACCATCCTGCGGTGCTGTTGCTAAAGCCGCTAGTTACTTTCGCGATCATTCCCGTTAATTTTGTCTATGTGGGGACGCATTGTTCTTTAACGCCCATCATTCCGCGTTACACATTTCCGTTATTCAAAAATTGTTAATCGGTTTTGCCAGCTAGAAGATGGTTGCGCACTATGCTCCCCGAGCTTTAATGGCAGCTTCGCGAGACGTTCCAGGGGCCAAGTCCAGAAAATGAGTGTTCATATTCATTTTAAAATTTTATTAAAATTTAGTGTTTATACTACAAAACGTAAAACTGTTGGCTAATAATAGCGAGCGATAACATATCTGAATCCCATTAACTTTCATTTAAAGCAAAAATCGAAATTTGGTTGAGCATAAAATTCAAAATCGTTCTAAACAAGAAACCTTAGAAGTTCAAATATAAAGATAACTTATTGTATTACTCTGTAGCTCCCCAGCTGTACGTGAACTCGCTAACTACAAATGTGTATACTACTATTTATGAAGAATCTTTATTAATAAACAAAATAAAAATGAATATTTTTCTTTACAAAAAGTATTTTTGAAGGTGGCAGAATAATGATTACTCTTTTGGTTCAGGCTCATGGCGGCTGCTCAGGCGGAAACTGCGCCGTCGAGCGCAATCGAGGAAACAGCGTTGACGGTGCAACGCCTGCTGGAGGGCGTAGCGGCGGCCGAAACGGAGGTAGAAGCGGAGGCGGAGAAGGCGCTGCTGGCGGGGGCTCTGGCGGCCGGCGCGGAGGCTCAGGCACTGGCGCGTGTACAAGCTGTCCTGGACCGCACGTGGGAGAGGCTGAACGCGGGCCATTGGAGCACCGTGCCCCTACCGCGGCGCCGCCTCTACGCGCTGGCGTCTTTGCACAAGGTGCGCTTCCCTTATCGTCATCATCATCGGGCGTGTTATCGTCTGCTAACCTTTCGATAATAAGCTGACTCTCCCTGCCCTCAGTTAATTCCACTTCCATTTTAAAATCTAAAGAACCTTGACCCTGGCCTCCACCCTGTGCTCCACCTCCGCTGTGGGTCGTCGGACCATTGCGGCCGAGAACGTCTCCTTTCCATGAAAACTCGTAAGCCCATGACGGTGCTTGAACTTTGTAATAGAATGGCGGGGGTGTTAGGTGGCGTATATGTAACAGCCCATGAGGCTATTAAGAAACGTCCTTCCGGTAAGCTTGTCACTTTCGTACTTCATACACACATTTGAGCAGGGGTACTGGCGGTCGGTGCGCAGGGACTGGGCAGGAATTGGGTATTGAAGATGCTAAAATGATGGTTGGAATGAGCCACATCACGCAATAACTCTAGAGAAAATATCTTCGCCCAACGCCGTAGAACCTGAATACCCCGAGCTCGCAGCTTCACCGGTGCCTCTATGCTACGCTGAGCCGCCACGGCCGTTTTAACAGCGTTGGGGGCCTCCTATTCTTACTTTCACCGATCTCCCCTCTCCTATTTCGATGCTGAAATATAAAGAAAATCCTGTCAATTTACATTGTATTTTGTAATCAGTGCTAGCCCCTGGAGTAAAGGAGCTGTGGCTGAGATGACTCATGGTATCAACTGATGTCTCTGCAATGTCTCTGACCGGGAGGTCCTAGGTTCGATTGCCGACGGTGGCAGGATTTTAAACGCCAACTAGACAGCGCAAGAAGAATTCTACGAGTAGCAGCCGGCTGCTGCACTTTTCCATAGTTTCTCCGGTCAATACCAGACAAATGCTGAAGCAGAGCCCTAACAAACGGGCTACGGATAACACGATCTTACTTCCTCTTCCTTGTTCTATCCTCCCACGCACACTTACATGCACTCTATTGCGACGACACTTACATGCACTCTATAGCAGGAGACCAATCGGGAACCTAGAGCTTGTTACGGTGGGGTGGTGCCCAGTTGGTGGGAGATACTTTCGTAGACCCCCCACAAGCTGACGTGTTGGTCGGCGCTGGATCTTACTATCCATGTGGGAATTACTTCACCTTTCATCATAAAAATATGCCATACACTTACGGAACTAATGTCCATAGTAGTTGACGCGCCAAGAAACATGAAATAATCACCCGACCCCAGGAGTACGTCGGAAAGACTGTCGCACTGGGCGTCTACACAGCTGAGCATGCTTCCGGTTGCAGGTGAGGCTGCTGCTGGTGGGTGAGAGCACAGGAGGAAGCAGTGCCCAAGAGGCCAACCACGCGGAAACGCGCCTGCGCGATGCACTCGCCGCCGCCGACCAGGGCCTGCTGCTGGGCGCGCCGCTGCAGGCTGGGGATGCGGACGAGGGGGCCCTGTCGGTCGCCGCCGCCGCCCTTTCCAAGGCCCTCGCACACCTCCGCTGCCCCGGGCTTCGTCCCGTCGTTGCCACAGCGGTACGCTCAACCAATACAAAGCGGATTTTATTTTTGAAGCGGGGAATCTTTTTAAATTCAACTATTAGATGGGTTGATCCAGATAAAATTACAGATAGGTAGTAAATGTTTGGCGATAATAGCAGAAAAAGAAGTTACGGAGCACAGTAGGATGACAAAGATATTGATTTAAAAAGTAAAAGAAACATAAAATAAGGAAAAAAATTGGAGCTATTTTTGAGAAAACTTTGACAATATGTCAGGAGTTTTGTGTAAAGTACTCCAAAAATATAAATTATTTTCAAAATCGCATGGCTTCGCGATGTGCCTTTTTTGACCGTGGAATATTTATTTTGAAAAAAACAAACATAAGAAGTTTAGGAGCTAGTGATGTTCACAGATGGACAAAAGATTTGAAAACACGTTTTCAGTATCAGAGGACCCTAAAACTTGTATTTGTTGAAATCTCGAAATTGGTTTTCTGCAGTATTATGTAACTTTCAATACTACATATATATATATATATATATATATATATATATATATATATATATATGTATACAAGAAAGTAATTAGTCCTACAGATGGCCAGAGTTAGACAGTATAAAAATACTTGTATTTAAAATATGTATTTTTGATACTTTTGTAATTTGTATTTTGTATCAAAAATACATATTTGAACATATATTTTGTATTTGTATTGAAAATACTTTCTGATGGTAGTTTTTATTTTCAAAATACAAACTTACTTTATATTGATCTGTTGTTGAAAATTTGAATTTAAATATAGAGACAAACCTGGAAAATACAAATGTAACACAAATTTTTGATATTTCAAAACAATTTTTCTTTCCCTGCAGCAGTATTGCGAAGCGTTAGAGCGAAGAGTTAGGTGCAAAAGTGAAAGCATCACATAAAATTTGTAAGCCTGCCAAACAGAGAATAATAAGTTGTTTCCTCCAATATGACCTCAAATTTTAAGACACCCTTAAAGATAAAAATTGTAAGCAGTAATATTATAAATTTGAAATGTATAAATTGGTATACACCAGACTATGAATTTCACTGGTCATTCTTTTTACTAGAGAACTGATAATTTCTCTACACATTTTATAGAATTTCTCCTTGTGTGATGAGTGAAGTTGAGTGCTATAAAAATGAGTGGTTCAGAAGATCAAATTCAGTGAGGATATATATGTCCAATTGTAAACCACAACCAAGTTGTAAGAAATAAATTATGAAGCTAGATCTCTATTGGTTATATTTTGTTTTTTCAAAAGTATATTAAAATACTATTTTGTATCTAAAATGATTTTATGGAAGTATTTTGTATTTGGTATCTAAAATACTTTCAATGAAGTATTTTGTATTTGAAATACTGTTTTCAAGTGTTTGCCCAATTCTGCAAATGTCTCTTACTAGTTAGTTTCCTTATCTATTTTAGTCTGTTCTCTCTGTTCAAATTTGCCCATCCTCATCTTAGTTGACACCTCAAAGACATTTTTTCATATTTTCTCAATTTTTCAGTACTCTATAGATAGAATGGAAATATTACTATAAAAATGTTGTATAAGCGTAAAATCTAACTAAGCACATTTTTGTTGAAAGATTTGGAGTCTTTTTGAAAAAATTCCATTTGAGTGTTTCTGAAAATGTGAAGTTTTGATCTTATATTCACAGAAAAAGCTTGAGTTTTTGAGAAACTTCAATGAAAATAATTTGAAGCACTTTTACTCACAAATGCAATAATGCATAAAAAAATCTGTGATGTAATATGTGATAATGATGTGAAATTTATTTAAAAATATTACAATTGTGTAATTTGGAAAAATCAAATGGCATTAATGTCAGATAATGTTATTCAATGCATTCCGTACATGTATATAAATCAGCTGTAATGTAAATATTAATAATGTGAACAAGACATAAAAAAATTACATTTGTGTAATAATAAAAAGGGAAAAAAAGAAGAGAATATAGCAAAATGGCATTTAGACTAATTTTAATATTTAGCACCATACCTACAAAAATTTTCAAGAAAAACTTTGGAACCCCTTTAAAGAAATTATATTTTTTTAAAAAAATTTTTAATATTGCTCTTTATTTTACTCAAAATAGATTGAAAACTACTATAAGTAGTACTGTTTTAATTCAGTATGTTTAGATATATATTATTTCAAAATTTGCACTCACATATGCATGCTCATGACTTCAACAAATGAAGTGGTCAAGCATGAAATATAATAATCCTTAAAATTTTGGTTTTTGTGAAACTATAATTTGTGGTTCCTTCCATCTGTTGTCCATATGCAGTATGAAAACCTTTCAGTGTAGCTTAAGATGTTTTTATTCTCAAATTCTTTTTTTATTATGATTTATATAATATAGTTTATATTATATTAAACTAATTCATTATGATCTACATGCTCAATTATTTTCAAATTTCTTGGGCATTTATTGGACATGAAGAATGTAAATGAGTGAAATTGTTTAAACTGTGGATGTAATACTATTTAATAATATTATTTATTTAAAAAAACATTAAAGGCTACTGAATTAATTTTACAATGTGTTGTATCTTTCCCTACTGAAATGGAATCTCTTTCTTTGTTAATTTTCCCTTTTTTCCTCTCTTAGTGGAAAAGTGAAAATATGGGCAAAATTGAATTTCTAAGACAGTAAAATAAGCCTTATATATAAATAATATAATGTTTTTGTTTACTTGGTTTAAACCTGGTATTTTTATAAAAATATTTAATGAAAACCTTTCATGTATTTTTTTGATGTTTCAGAAGGAGAAAGTATTGTCTAACTCAGCTCCTGCTGTACCACCTCTCTGCAGTGGGCCAACTACGCCTGTGCCTACTCTATCTTTGCCCTCATTGCAACAATTTTCGAATGACCACTTCAAACCTCATCTACCAGTGCTTCTTGCAGGTAAATTACTATTTTTAAAAGTGATGAGGATAGCAAATAATTCATGAATGAAAGTTATGTTGATGTCCTTTTAACTTACTTTCTGAGCCTTATCCAATCATTTGCATTGGAACTGTCCCCATTTAGTGAGGATGATTGGTGTTCCAGCTCTACTGATCTGTTCCCACACATGTCAGTGACAAAATTCCAGAGGCAGTGGCTAAAAACTCGTACACTTCATTGACCACCATTGATTCAAAATTTCCTTTTCTATTTAATTTGTAGATTGGGTTTATAAAAATATTGTCATTCTTCCATGACATACTATATTACAAATATATTCCTTTACCACCTTACATAATTCAGTATAATAAAATGAGACAGAAAAAAGTTGATAAAATATTGATAAATGTGAATGTTTAGAAAAACGTTTTCAAGTTATGATCTTGAAAAGCTACAATTTTATTGTGGTATTTTGATTCCATTTACTCACAAGAACTTTGCATTTACAAAGTAGTAATGGATGATGAGATTTAGGATCCAAAACTTGAAATTGTAAACAAAAAACATCAAACTGATTTAATTAAGTTCCCTGTAGGGTTAATTTCTCAGTTACACCTAATCTTAGATTCCCAATTGGGCCTATTGTCATGATGTTTTCAGAAGAAAGAATGGTCTAATCTTCCTTGAAAATCCAACATACTTATGAGAACCGCCAGTTAAATGAAAATATTATGTTTGTATTTCTCTTTTGTTTTTTCTTAGTAAGAAATTGAGAAATAAAACGTGTATTGTACCATTCCATGCATAAAAATATTAACATGAACTGGAGAATCCTATTTTTATTAGTAAATGGAATATGATGTTACTTAAGAGCTCACATTTTCTTTTTCATTCTTTTCTGATGATTGATTAAGATTTTGAGAATTATTATTCCGAGCAGCAATATTGTTAACTGTGGTACTATTGTGCTTTTAAACTTGATAGTATTGTGATTTATGTTTCTAAAACATAAATTTATCAAACAGATAGATATTAAAACTATATTTGTTAAAATAAAACTGCCCAGACACCTTTGCTTTTTCTTTCATCCCTCTTTTATTCCCTCCCCTCTATTTTCCTTGAATTTTACTCGTTGCACCAAACTCTTGTCGTAATTGATACTGTAACTTGTAAGGCTATTTTGACACTTAAGTTGTAAATGACATTTGGTATCCATTGAATTATTGGGATATTGAGACTATATAATAAATTGTCTGGTTAATTTAATTTTTTAAGAGTTGTATCATTTTTTTCCTCAGGTGCTGCAAATCACTGGCCTGCTATACATCGTTGGTGTAGCCTTGAATATTTGTGTCATGTGGCAGGTGCTCGAACTGTGCCAGTGGAATTAGGTGCTCATTATGTTGACCCTACTTGGTCCCAAAGACTCATGACATTAGAGAGTTTTGTAGAGAAGCATGTGAAATGCGAGAGTCAGATCTCTACGTCAGATAACTCTCAACTTGGTTACTTAGCCCAACATCCTCTTTTTGATCAAGTATGTATGCTGTTACTAAGCCACAAATGTTTTGAATTGTGTGCACTTCATTATATAATTCTTTTAAAAATTTAAAATAGAAGAAACTTTCATTTTGTATTAGAAATGTGCAAATGTAAATGTTGTTAGGCCTATTTTACCCATTTTCTCCTAACCTTCCCTTATGTAAGAAAATGTGACTTGTGTAGATTTGACTGTCAGTTATATTTAATTTAGGATATTCGGTATAGCCCACATTGTATTAATGTCAGTCCTAACCACCACTAAATTCTTTTTGATGGATGTTACAGTAATGACTCTTTTTTCGAATGGTTAATTATATTAATTCATATTTCTTGGTTTATTAATCTTTCACTTTCTTACTTCCAATGTTTGGAGGCTTTCGATTTGGCTTTATCTTAGTAGCTGCAATTAAATTTGAAAGATAGCAAGTTTTCAGATTTGTTGATTAAAAGAATCTTATAAAATGCTCTTTTTTTAAAAAAAATTATAAATGATATGTCTTATAACTAAAAGTATTTGTATTTTAATTTAATAGGCAAACATAAAGAAATACCTGCTTTTCATTGTACTAGGTTCAAGCAAACGTATCCTAATACATTATTTCAAGAATAAATATTAAAGTTGTTCTATTATCAGTATCACATCTTACAGTGGAGAGATTTGTCACCAGCATTGTACAAACGCATCCTGTCAGATCCAGATACAAATAAATTTTGGATGTTGTGTTAAGCAGACAGAAGGGGAGAAGAGAGGTTGGGAAAGAGAAATACATTTAAATGTAGATGTAGGGAAAAGCCGAGCTGGGAAAGAAGAGCGATTAGGAGAGGTGGTGTTTCCTAAGAACGAATGACATGTTAATTGTCATTGATTCTGCATATACCAATTGCTTTTTTTTTTAATTTTATGTAATAAACTGCCATATGTATTGGTTATTTGATAGTATTTTATATTCATAAAATTCCTAATGTACCATCCAACAACAAAATTTAAGTGTTTAGGACTCGTTAAATTTTGGACCTTACTGAATATAAAGAAAATTTTACTTCTTCCCAAATCTCTGTATGTAATTTTTGAAAAAAAAAAAAAAAAAATAAATGCAGTGTTTTTGAGAAAGAAAGCTATTTCAATCAGCATTAACAACTCTCTCTTGTAAGTTCAGAGTCAAGAAGTAATTATCATCTCTGATAAATTTATTTCCCAAGGGAGAAAAATCAAGTGTAGATTATGAACTTCTAAATTTTTTTAAATGAATTATTAAAATTTTGGCAGTATAAAAAAATTAATTTCCTTTGGAAGGATTGCTTTGTTGAGGATTAAATATTGTAATTTTATCGGAACTGGTCTAATTGTGAAACTAACAATGGACTAAGAGATTTCGTACATTGTCATCTCTGGCATGTTCCAGGTGATGTTATTACATTGAGCGGTTGGAATTGCTTTACAGTTCAGTGTTTTCTTTCCCACTCATCCATTGAGAAAATAATTTGTTCTACATTTTACTAGATATATTTATCCCTCATCTTTGAAGTTCTTTGGGCCTTGGTTTTTAACTGATATTTTAACAAATACCAAATTTAACTTTAATTAATTCTGGTGAATATGTGCACTTTTTGTTATCCAAAGGACATATGTTTGAATTATCTGGCATGTTTCCAGTGAGACACCTCAGGGGATAAAAAAACATAAATGACTCACAAAGCAAGACTTGGTGCCAGGATATCTATGGGTATAGTTATGCAGGAATTCTCATTTTATACAACTGTCATAATGAATATAACACTTTATTTCTACCTTGGTTTTAACTGATATTTAAACAAATCTCAGACTTAAGTCTCACTATCTTTGGTAGGGATAGTTTTCTTTTGTCTTATTTGAAGGGCATGTGCTCCAATCATCATTGGCAAGTTTCCAATGTTCTAGTCACAATAAGACACCTAAGGCAATTTCAAAAAAGTTCATGACTCAAGGAAGCCTGACTTGGTGCCAAGATATCTTTGGGTATAGTCATGCAGGAATTCTCATTTCACACAACTCTCATGTGTATAATGCTGTATTTCCACAGTATTAACAACAAACTAATGGGGTAGTCACTTAAATGAAACTATTAAATAATAAACAATATCTAACAGTGAATAAGCATTGATAAGATTTATTATTTCTAAGATGAAAATAGAATATGAATGTCTTTTATTATAAGCAAACAATACAGCTATATTATTGAATAATCAACTTTTAAGGTCACTTCATGAATTACATCCCTTTGAATTATAAGAAGAAAAGCATGACTTATTAAAAAAAATGTCTTAATTTTTGCTTTCGTATTAAGGTGCCAGAATTGAGAGCTGATATCTGTATCCCAGAATACTGCTGCCTAAGTGATAAGCAAGATGAATCTTTAGATCCAGACATCAATGCTTGGTTTGGCCCAGCTGGCACCGTCTCACCCCTCCACTTTGACCCTAAACACAACCTGCTGACACAAGTAAGTATAGCAGGTGCCTCAGAAATGCAACGATGAAAAAACAAGTACTTCGAAAGGCGATGAATTGACCTCTTATATATATCTTACTTTCCTCAACACAAACTCCTGCTGATGTGTTTCGCAAAATGAAAAACATACAGTAAAACTTGCTCAATGAAGAATGTCAAGGGACCAGTATTTTTTTCTGTTTTTGACAAGATTTCTGTAAAGACAGGAGACATAATGCAATGTAATATTGTACAGCTTACGTTTGCCCAGACACAGGTTTTTGCAGTATACACATTTCATACTGAGCAAGTTTTACTGTATTTAATTTCATCATATCACATATGGAAATGTGAAATGTTACATATGGAACAGTGTTTTTATTGTTGCAAGAAGCAGATTTTGCAAAATGGCTATTTTACCTTATTCCTGAGAACAATAAAAACATTCTATAAGCTAACAATGTCAACAAGAATAGACATTGCAGTTCTCAATACAATCTACCCAAGTCAAACAATTTTGAATGCTAAATATCACAGAAAAGTAGTGAGAAATTATCTTTTAAATATTGTAATGAAGGAAAGTACTATTTCTTGATTTCCTTTTAATCCAATAACTAAACATAAATAAATACCTTGCATTTAATTGTGATTTTGTAGAAACATATGTAGTGCAACATTTGTTTAGAATATGGCTCACAGAGGTTTAGGTTGAAGGGCACAATTCTTAACAGATGCCATGAGACTTCATGCATTCCTTTGAAATTGAATATGCATAACACATAGGTACTTCACCTTAAATACATTTTAGTAAATACTTTAAATCGAGGAAGACTAACCATTTTTAAGGCCTCAACAATATCTTGTATTAGTTTTAAGAAACTTTTGCAATGAAACAGATATTCTGAAACTAATACATTAGTAAGATTATGCTGAGATACGAATTGCAGCGTAATACTTTTAAAAAAGACTGAAACCACTACCATAGGGATTGTTCAATTAATTTGAAGTATCCAAATTGAAATAGGATTTTCTCATGTACCTTCCAGTTCAGATTTTGACTTCTTCTCTCATTTCCAGGTGGTAGGTGCCAAGAGGGTACTGTTGTATGCACCTGAGGTATCAGCTGCATTGTATCCACATGAAGAACCTCTGCTCAGTAACACAGCACAAGTAGATCCAGAGAATCCAGATTACACAAGTTTTCCAGATTTTCAAAAAGCACAAGCTTGGGAATGCACGCTCAAGCCAGGAGACATGCTGTATATACCACCTCGATGGTGGCACCATGTACGCTCACTTAGTGTATCTTTCTCAGTGTCGTTTTGGTGGGAATGATTGTGGGAGTGCTGACAAAGTTTGAACCATTCTAATAAATAATTTTCTCATCGGTAAGACATGGTAATAGGATGGAAGGGGGAGATAAACAGAAACCACCTTACACATACCACAGTGACATACTGGCAGTTACTGTAGTAACTATTGAAATCCCAGTATTATTTTTTGATAGTTCTCTTATAAATCATTTGAAGTATTTATTTCATGCACAGCACGTACCAACTGAATATTTTCCTCAGCAGAAACTGACTAATATTCCGATAGTAAATACTTGTAAGACAAGTAAGATACATCATAAATATCAATACAAATTTATTTAAGGAAAAATCAAATACAATACATTCACAACGAATGCAAGCCATCTCCAGGCATCTCAAACAGTCTTATATGCAGATACTTATGTCTGTGTAAGCCAACACACTTAAATGTTGGCAATATTCTTTAAAGTAACAACATTCCAATAACTGTTCTGCAGCTCACGCTTTTTGTGTAAACCCATAGAGAATACATCCCTCTCCCAGTTATACATTTTCTAAATTCCCTTTGGACCTTTGATCTACCCTGGGTCCATCCTTCACCTGCCTCAGAACATTCCAAGTGCAACAACACTGGCAATTGACTTAATTATGTAGTAGTGTTATGTACTATCTAGCAAAGAGAATGGTAAAGTTTTGACTTTAGTAAAACTTAATTCAATCACCACATTAAATATAATTACATTAATAATAGACAGGCAAATTGAAGTTGAATAGAAAATCTTTTCTCAACAGAAAACACCTAAGTGATTACACACAATGTATATAGGAATATATAAAACTGATCAGCATACAATCTAAATTAAAACTTGAAATATCCAACATGTTTTAGGTTTTGGATATTCAACAAATGATTAAGACAATAAAGTCACACCCCTTAATTCTTCACATTTTAAAATCTGTGCAGACAACACACTGGCTGTGATCTCGTCTCTTGGCACTACACACAATCGCACACGCAATGCAGAAATGCATACTGACCAGCCTTTTGTTGAATCAATCAACTTATCAAAGAAACTTCATTTAATGGAATTTTATGAGTTCCAGCAATTGGCAAGAAAGTTGACAAGCATGTTTGTTCCAGACACTCCTATATTCAATAAACCTTCAATTTGGAAATATTTTTAAATCAAGACTGATGGAAACTTAAAAATATACTTTCAAATTTACACAAATGCAGCCAATTAAGTACATTTTGTGGCTTCCAGTTACAAAGGTCATCACTTTTTCATTCTTTTAGCCATTGTTCTACAGTTGTTAGAAATTCTTATACAATTTAATTCCAGCGGGTTTCGCAAAATTTTGATAACATACATATATTGGATGTTACAAGCTCAAAAATGATCACACAAGGCTCAAAAGATCAGGTTGGGCAGCAATGTGAGCTACTAAAGTGTCAAAAAAGCTGAAATTTCTACTTTTTTGAACTCAGGCATCTTTCTTGTCCTCACCATCACCACCACCAACAGCAGTAAGCTTGTTCTGAAGCTTGCGGTGCTCTTCAGCAAGGCGATCATATTCTGCATTGGTGGATTCAGCCTGTGACTTCAGAGCTTCCTTGTCCTTTCGTTCACGATTAAGTGTCCGTTCCAGTTCCTGAACTTGCTCCTTCAAAGCCTTCACCTGTAACAAGAAAGGTTTCACAGAAGTCATTTATTGTGTAATTTACCCCCAAGAAATATATTATGTACACAAACCATGAATATACTGAAATGGCAATACAATAGTATCTAAATTTGCATTGCATTTAAAAGAAACTGGATTCTTAAAATATTAATCGATTTGAATATGAATTACAGTACAACGAACGAGAGAAACAAGATGCACATAAGTTACTTTCTTGCTTCAGTGTTGCAGTAAAGTTACCAACGAAATTAGAGTCCAAGGGCAAACAAATGTCAAATGTTTCAGCGAAACCATACCTGCTTGTCGTGGGCCTCATTCGCGTCGTTTTGAGCCGCGCTACTTTGCGTCTGGGATATGAGGCTACGAGCTGTCGAAGTGGCTGATCGGGCCTGCTTCAAAGCGGCTTCACTCTCCGCAAGCAGAGTTGCCTGGGTGGAAATCAGTGTCACCAAGCGACGGATCACCAATGACAGGAACAATGCAAATCCAGAGATGTAGAAATTTCGTTGAGCGCGGAAAAGCCGCATGTTAACTTGCATTTCGGCGTCGAGATGCTGATGAGTTCCCTCTTCTGGGTTAGAATATTTGCGCATCTCACGGATCGCATCAAGAAAAAACAGAACCAGTACCGCAATCAAAATCATAAAATAGTACTGTGCTTGACTTGACAAGGCGCTTAAAAATCGTGATTTGAAAATTCGCTGCCATCGCTGGGGCGAGGCTACTGGTAAAACGAGCAGTAGTACGAGAAAAATCTCGGCATAAAGAAACGCAGCAATAAGTGTCCACTGGATGCTCATTTTCACAGTGCTCGATTACGACTCACGAAAGCTGTGTCCCTTTCTTCGAGGTGCTGTCTCGACGTACACGTCAGAATTTCGGACTTTCGACTTTACAGAAATCATGAATCATGGACGTCAGAACAAAATGCCCGTCCTTCCGTCCCGGCTTGTACGATCGTTGTGGTTGTACGATCGAGTACGAGTGGCGAGAGACAGCTGACGACAGTTCCGAGCTGCCAACTTCTGATATGAAAACACGCAAGGAATTTTGTGACTGCTCACCCATTTTTATTCAATTTTGAGAAAGTTTGAATGCGTTATAATTTAAAACTTTTTAGTTATCTAACGACATTGACATATTATGTTTAGAATATTATATTGTACCGATTTTGTATAGTAAAACTTCCTTATGGTTGTGAGTTGGATAGGTTAAAACCACTATTTGGAATGCAAGGAATCATATTGGAATGAAGGAAGTCATGAATGTAAAATTAAAATCTTCACATGGTCATTGTTCAAATTGTGATTTATTTCAGGGTCGAATTAACTCATACAACCATTCGGGCCCGTGAGTCGCTAGCCACGTACGTATTTTGAAGTAAGGCTCCATGGGCTGGTAGCGTGGATGCGGAAAACGATGAAACAATGCTTGTGTAATTGCTTCCACAACAGGTGATGGGTCGTCCGTCTGAAATGCATGGGGTGCATATTATATTATATTTCTATTCGATCAACTCAAGGCCAAGTTTAGCGGTATTTTATAAAATGGGTGCGGAATATTCAAAAGGGTCCAGTCAATTATTATTTTATAGTTGAGGGTATATGTTTATCTTTAATATTTTTTTTTATTAGCACGTTAAATTATTTCATACACAGTTTTTTAAAGTATTAGTAGTTTTTAACATTTTTAAAATTCAATCGTAATTTTTTATTGAAAATAATACTTGAAAAATACTTCGAGAAATGTATTATGAACATTTCATTATTGTGGCGCATGCTATTTCCATTTCGTGTTTTCTAACAGCCCGTGTGGATAGTGACCAGTCTAGTCTAAACGATGTAGTTAAGAGACAAGTTTACTTTCTCGCTACCGCTACCGCGATAGAGAGAAAATTATGTAATGCTGCGTGAAAAAACTGCGATTTTTCGGCAGAAAACTTTTATTATAGGAGCCTGGCAAAGCAAAAGTGGATAAATCGAGATACTCTATATAGAAAAAAAAATTCTAGCTCATGGTGTAGCCAGAATCCATGTTTTACCATACCTTGATACCGAAAAATCGATTGATGGCAAAAACGTCTGTCTGTGGACAATGCTAGCGGCTAAACCGATCAGTCGCTTTTCTCCATAATTGATATTACCCGATCGATCTGGCTGATGTTGCGGCCCCTTGAATTTGAAATCAATATTTCAATTTTGGAGGTACTTAAATGAAAACCCTGAGACATTTTCAAAAAATGGATCCATTGTTTTTAATTACATTTTGTTGTTGGATAGTGTAAAAGACATTTAAGAGAATGGTTTCGTTGAAAACTAATTTTTCGAAAATCGAAAAAAATCAATTTTTTTCTGCCTCTTCCTACAAGAAAAATATTTAAGATATATATATATATATATATATATATATATATATATATATATATATATATATATATTTCCTTGATAAAATCTATTCCTGAAAGATAAGTTTTGAAATAAGGTCATGTGCAATTTAAAAAAATCATTATTTTTTTCGTAATTTTGGGTGAAATATAGGCAGTTTTTAACTTTTGTTTACACAATTTTTTCCTCAAAAACGGGTCCATTGATTTTGATGAAATTTTGTTGGTGGATAGTCTGAAGGGCGATTAAGAGGCGTAGATTACATGTTGGTTAAAAACCCTGATTTTTCGACAATTGAAAAAATTCAAAATTGTTTTGGCCTCTTCCTACACCTACAATTATAAAGATACATTTTTTTGTTAATGAAATGTGTTAATCAAAAACAAATCTTCAAATAAGATCAAATTCAATTTTTCAAACCAAGTATGTTTTGCGAAATTTTGTGTCAAATTTTTTAAAACATTTTTTTAAACTGCAAAAGTTTTAGAATAAATTTAGATTCCGGATAAACGCTTAACAAAATGGTGCAGGTCTCATATTCGTTTAAATACCTAATTTTACCCCCCCCCCCAAAAAAAAGAAAAAGAAAGAAAGAAAAAAAGGCGTCTTCCTCCAACTACAATTGTGAAATACAATTTTTTCCTCTAATAAATGTGATAATAAAACACAGATCTTCAAGTAAGGTAAAGTTGAATTCAACACATACGCTCGTTCTGAATTGATTGTGCTTTGTAAACGTAATTTTAGATGTGTTTAGATGTGCACAATTGTACTCAATGCAAGCATATTAACAGGGTTTCCCATAGTAGCTAGAAACAATCAGAACTAGAGTTTTCCTTCTAAAAAATCTATTCTCAAAACCACAAACAATGTTTATAGCAACATGCGTGTTTGTGTCGATAAATTCTCTCGAAAATTCAGAAACGACTTACAACTTTATCTCATTTTGCCAGTTTGCACCGACCTTTCGCGTATTATAGACAACTTAACAGTTTCACAGTAGACGCGGACAAGAGCTCCAAGGAGTAAGAACGTGAAATGTAATGGAAATTAGAAAATGGGATGGGGTGGGATTTTGTAACATTCATGCATTCATGTTAAAAAAATAGTCTGCATTTATACATTCAAGAGTGAATGTATGAATGAGTCAAGAAGCATAATTTTCTATGAATTAACACGCATGTATACGTGTGGACAATGAGTACATGTATTACATACACCATATCATCTGATATTGAAATTCAGGTTTCATTCAAAGCTTAGTTTATCACAAAAGGTTGATTGGAAATGGAATTATTAATGTTAATTTTTGTAGTAACAATGCTGGGGAAATTATGGTTTGTTAACCTAATTTTGAAGAATTTGAAAATCGTGGCGGCAATAATTCATCTAATGTAAAATTCATTCTGGAGCATTCTGTTAATTGTGTACATTGAATATTTTAAATCTATTTTTCGTCAAAAAAAAAGTAAAAATATATGTCAATCTTAGGAGAAAAATATAATATGCGCGCGCATTAATAAATTAAATTAATAATAATTAAATAAATTAAAATTAAATCCGGGCTTTAGTTACCGCAAACTCAAATGCTCTGTCGGCAAAAGCGTGTGTGACTCTTAAAATTAACAATGACATCGTTACTATTAATAACGAAGAAGAACAAGAACAGATAACAGTTAAATGAAACCCAATTTGCTAGGTGATACTGTTAGAAACAAAAAGACCATTATCACAACACGCTTTGTTTTACAAAGACATTTGACAAAGAATCTGTATAGCACTTCTGTGTGAGTCTCGAATTCGCCACTCGTGATGGCAAACGCGTCTCTGCGGGTGTCGCTCTGTGAGCCTCAAGAAAAATCTTGACAGTCATTACTGCGAGAATGGATGCGTATTGGTAAGCACCGTTTGGCTGGTCAGACTTGTTCGCGGGTCCTGCGAATTTGTTCTTCCCAAAATAGCTAAAACCGTTTTGTGTAATCAGCTTTTTAGTATCAACCAAATTTGAGAAAACTAATTTGAACACTATGTTTGAAAGAGGCTTAATGATACAAAATAATTTCCGAATTATCCTGATTTTCATTAACCCAGATTACTTTCGGTCCCAGCTAGTCTGGATAAATTAGCTTCTTCTGATGAAAACGTATTATTACTATGTAGCAATGTCTGTAATACTAGTTGCACCACATAATTCAATGCTATATCCCTGTCTGATGTTTTTTCCAAATAATGATCGAGTCATTTACATAAACTCCATAAACACTCAAAGATTCTGAACTTCTACTCTCTTCCTTTTATAATCTCTCAGTGATTTAAGAAGGGATGTAACGTATATCCTGTTGTCTTTACAAAGAAGTTATTCATTACAAAATAAAAGATATACAAACAGAATTTACAAAATTTACAAAGAGCGATCATTTAATTTTTCATTCAAAACATTATCCGAAGCTTTAACGAAGTTAATATGTTTAAAACTTTAAATTCATCGTTTTGAAGTCTGATTTTTCCCTAACCAGGGTAATTGTAACGTGTCTTACTTATATTTAATATAACATGTAACAATGTAATATAAATAATATTTTGAGCTCTCCATTTGCTAGTTGTGGTAGGAGTAGAGCCGGGTGTATTAACTACTTTATCACATCTCTCCAATTTTTTCAGCCTGATACATGCAATAAGATAAGAGATTTTTATTTAAACTGCAATTAGGTATAACTGCAATTGGGTATAATTGGGTATGGGTTACTAGTTTCTTATAAATACTTATAACTCAATTCTGTAATTCGTTTACCTATGCAAACAACTTTTCATGACTCGGGAGCTATGTTACTAACCTTGCATTGTTGAAACTCCTATTTAACATTCAACTATTTAGTGTTAAAAGGAGGGAAGGGATTTCAGAGCTCAAGAAAACGTGCGCATGTTATACTTCTCCCCCATACGTAACATAGCGTTTTTACTGTACAATGACAGAATTCAAATCGGAAGTCTCTGTTAACGGAAATGCTACGTTTCTTTGCCGGGAGGAGGCGAGTACTTATCGACGGAGTGCGCCTGGAACTGCTGAGGCGGAGTGGGGAAGTCTCGTGCGAGGTCGAGTCGCAGGAGGCGTCCGGGCACTCACCCCGCGCGTGGAATAGTCGATCTTGCGCTGGAAGACGGCGTCGAAGTAGGCCCTCCCGTACTCCTCGCGCACTTCCTCTGACATGTGCTCCCACAGGTCGGCAGCGATGCGTCGGATGGAGGCCTCTGTGTAACACTTGGTGGCTGCGCACAGCAAATCGTTTATCAGCGGGCTTTTGTCCCATGAATTACTCGGCATAGTAAAGCGACCTCACTTGGTTACGGTAGCCCTATTCATCATTTATTTTTATTCAATGTGGTTTCCTGTTAACATCAGTACCGTTACTAACCGAATAGATGTGCAGAAAAGTACCACAGGGCGTTTACATCTTTGGATGCTCTAACCTAACAAGGTATTTATTACAGGGCCTTATTGCAATATGTTTCAATTGCATTATTTTTTATTATATTTTTATTGTGTATATTAAATTCTTCAACAAGTTAAAACTAATGTATACGAGATTTTTACAAAACAAGTTATTCTAAATATTAATACCACATTATGGTTAAATACATTTAATTAATATAATTTGGGTCATGATTATAAGGTTGCATATTGTGAAAATTGTAGGGATGAATGTTGTATAATTGCAAAGTACTCACCGTTAACGAAGTTTCCAGGTTCTATAATTGCAACATGAATACCAAACCGTCTCATTTCGTAGCGCAAGCAGTCAGATAATGCTTCCACGCCATATTTGGATACGCAATATGCTGACTTGTTGATGGCGCCCTGCAAGAAAGATTCTATATGAAGGAGTACTTGCCTTAGAATGACACAAAAAAAACGAGTATTTGTGATGTTTGCAGAAACCAGAAGAAAAGTGTTTTAAGTTAAAAGTTGGTTCAAAGTAAATTGCGATGATAAAATACAACATTTTTGTAAGTTTGTGGTATGATACTCTGATTTCATGCAAAAATAATAATATTTACAATTCAACCGGGGTAGCCGAAGTCGTCCATACACGAGCGATTAACTTAACCATTTCGAAGGTTCGCGGAATTCGTCTCAGGCTTGGATGGTATTTGGATGGCTTGGATGGTTCGTGGTATTTGTTGTGTACGGGGTTAGTCAATAAAAACGTCCATCTCGAATATTCTGCAATTTAAATAATTGAGATGAAATTTTCATCAAAAGATTCAGAACATAGAAACTCATCAGTTGTAGTTATTATCTTCTTGAAGTCATTTTTATTTTAAAGATATTGGGCTAACTTCATTTGTTAAAATGAAACACTAGACATGTTTACACGAACAGATAGCTCTTGAAAAAACAAATTCATCACTACCAAATATATTGGTATTCGATGATTAATTAACTTTACAAAAGAGTACGTCAGAGGTGTGCACACATGGCCTGAAAATTTCGAAATGGTCTCCTTAGCCCCACGTTATAACGTATTGCTTTAAAAATTAAAATTCTAAAAGTAGTTTTGCATGCATGGTATCGCATACCCTGTAAGAAGAGGGGTATCTTGTTATTCAGACGCCCATTTCAAGCATAGAAGCAATAGAACATTTCCAGAAATGAAGTTCCCCTTTTTGTTTCAGGCTGCTCACGCTTTTGCGAAAAGTAGGTACTTGGACGTTCAAGGCGAGAAATCCGCTGTCTCCAGGCCGCATGGCTCAGGGCAGTGCAGCAACCTTGGCAACCACTTCGGTCGAACTTCCCTTTCAAGGAAAGTATCGGAGAAGCAATTGTTTACGTCATTCAAGGTTCTGAGTTTATATTTCGTCCATCTGTTATAAAACAGAATTTTAAACTCATTAGAGTTTACAGTTATTTATCAAATACCAACATTTGTAGAATTGCTGAATTTGTGTTCTTGAGGCCTATTTGTGGAAAAAAGGAATAGTGTTCCATTAAAAAATTTTAGTTAAATACAAGCTAGTAAAAGATAAAAACTAGCCCCTATGTTGTGAATCGTTTGGAAAAAATCATCTCAGTATCTTGAACCGTTTTCGACAATATTCGGGGTGGACAATTTTATTGATCAACCCTGTTTGTAGCCCTCTATTTTTCACACCTTTAGGGTAAAGAGTGGAGATAGAAAATATCATAAAATGATTCTCAATTTGAACAGGAAAAAGTTGTGAAGCATTATGTCAAAATTAGGAAATGATGAGATCGGTAATTTCTTGAAGATAATGTACACAGAAACGAGTTACAGAGTGATTGTAGAAAGGAAATTTAGCAATAAGTTGTGGATCAATGAAGGCGTTAGACAGGGTTGTCCATTGAATCCTCTTCTTTTCAATTGTATATCGTAGGTTTGGAAGAGAAGTTACCGAAGAGACAGAATGGTGAATTATTGATAAATAAATTAAACATTTAGTCCTTGTATTATGCTGTTAATGTGGTATTATTAGCTGATAATGCCAAGGACTTTAATCAGATGATGAGGAGATTAGTAACATTTTATAGAATAGATAACTAGAATTAAATACGAATAAGAGCAAAGTAATGAAATTTAAAAAGGGTAGAGGACGAATAAATGTGAGAAAATTATATGGAAAGGAAATATTTTAGAAATGGTGAACGATAATAAGTATTTAGGGTTTTGGCTTAACAAGGGAGGGGGCTACAAAAAAAAAAACACATAACAGAAATAGATGAGAAGGGGACGGTAGCAATGAAACAAGTGTGAGGTATAATTAAGAGAAAAAGCAGGGGTTTTTGGGCAAAGGATATGAGGATATGTGATAGTATTGTTGGTTATATTTTGAGTTGAGGCCAGAAATTTGTGGATAGAAGGAAGGGATGAAACTAGAAGCAAAAAATGATTCTCCTTATGAATTAAAAGACGACTTGAATCATAAATAATACCTGCATCAACAACAACAATACTACTACTACTACCACTACTACTACTACCACTACTACTACTACTACTGCTACCGCTACCGCTACCGCTACTAATAATAATAATCATAATTTCTTAAAATGCTGATCTGGGCACGCGAGATCGCTAAGGCAGTAGTGCCGTTGATGGTCTTGGACCGAAATATTGCGGATTCGAGTCACGAATAGGAAAACGGTTGTGTTTGTGCATGTGTATGTACGTTTGTGATTGTCCATTTCATCCTTCATCATCATCGTTTTACCTCATCCTCCAGGGCTAACGTCCCTGGGTGTGAAAAAGGATTTGGCATGAAAATGCTGATCCCCCCATAAAAGTCACGTGGATCTACCCTCAAAAATATGACTGAGTTCTGATGGGTTGCACGTTCACGTGGTCCCGAGGTGGCCTATTCGCGAGGAAAAAAACAAAACAAAAGACGTTAAAATATGTGAGACCTATAAAAAGTCCTCCCCCAGGTCAGATCGCTTTCTTGCTTTCGCCGCTGCCCGTGTATAAGTGAACAGCGATCGACTAGTCATTTATTCGACTCCTAGCTGCATAGCACAGCATTGGCAATTGTCGCTGACCTGTCGGCCGAGGGCAGAGGCGACGTTGACAACGCGCGCGCCGCCGCCGGCCGCGCGTCGAAGCAGCGGCAGAAAGGCCTGCAGCACGCGCACCATGCCCCACACGTTGATCTCCTGCATGCGCTGGCACGTGGCCACGGGCACCCACTCCACGTGGCCCACCGTCGTCCAGCCGGCGTTGTTCACCACGCCCCACAGCCCCTCCAGCGGCCGCTGCTTCTCCACGACGCGGCGCGCCGCTGCCACCTGCAAGCCAGGGAGTGAGTATTCATTACTGTTTGCGGGCGCGTCATTAGGTCCATAAGGGTAGTGCATGTTATATCACAGTAGGTGAAGGATTTCAAACTTTGTTGGAACTTGAAATCTGGTGCCGATTTATACGTGTGTTTGCGAGGATTTCCGCCTCCTATTACGAGCATCTTTCGCAGAAGGCCACTGCTGCAGCCGAGACAATCTTTAAGGGTAGAAACACACAGAATCCGACGCTGCAAGAACAGTTTCGTGCTTGGCTGTGAGGACGAGCACTTACCAAGTGTCGCGATTTGAAACAGTTCAGTTTGATTTTTTCTTGCGAATTGCCAGCGATCTGAACTCGTCTGCGCGTAATTTGGACAGAAAACGAAGTGTATTCGAGGCCGTCAATTTGGCAGTGTAAGCACAAACACTACCTGAATTGAGGTGTTATTACCAACATGTGGGAAGAAATTACCGAGGCAATAGATTTCATGTAGTAGATATTTTTTATAAACTCGCAACTCATACATTTTCTTACCTATTTCTATTCACATAAATCTGAAAAGCTTTTCATTGTCGCGAAAAATGGGAAATAGATGGTAATATTTCCCATGCTCCTGCAACACATTGCATTCATCCACTATCTTCGCTTACGTCTCAGTACTTTCCATTTTAAATTCATAACTTAATGCGGCCATAACTCTCGTACTTTCCACAGCGCGATTTATCAACTCTTCGCTGTGCCGCGTCGCTCCGCACCCTATGTGTTTCTAACGACGGTGTAAGCTCTCGACTTGTCTCACCAAAGCGTGGGTGAGGGGAGGAGGAAACAAAAATGAGAAAGAAAAGATCGTGCGCGGCCAATAACCTTAGGGTATTACTCATCCATTTGCTGATTAGTGATTGGAGAAACCTCGAAAAAATACCGATGAGAGCAGCCGGCTGCTATAAGATTCCTCCACGGAAGTGCTCCCTGGAGGACAAGGTCAGTTGCTCCCGGCTCTCTGCCGTCGGCAGTGACTCATCCTGGGCGATAGGATAAATTTAAAGAATCAGTTCTTAGATATGAGAAATTCATCGTAATTCCGCGCTGCCGCTATTCGCTACATACTGTGATAATGTCATACGTAGATGACACCCAAAAAAGCTTGCATTTTAGCTAAATATCAATTCTGATTGGTTTCTGATGGTTATCCTGTTCTGTTATTGGATAAAAATAATGAAACAAACAGATGTAACAAAGAAGGTATGACAACGGATAAGAACACCAGAAAGGTTTCAGATGGCAAAGTTAAATTGTTATTAACTGTTTAAATTTATTTATCTAAGAGTTATATTACAAACTATCTAAAAAACATACGTACGAGCAGTTGCATAGGTATTGTATGTGAAATTCTAGGAACTAATTGTCATTGATGGTTCACGTGCAATAACGGACAGACGAACTGACAAAACATTGTGCCTAAACCAATTTTTCGGTATTAAGAACCAAAACGTGGATTTTGACTAGACAACGGGTTATAGGAATGAATTTATGTACAGAAACAATAATTATCCACATTTTCGGTCTCAGGGATATGCAATATGAATTTTTCTGCCAAAAAGTTGCGTTTTTTGCTGATGCATTACGTAACTATGTCAATGCTCGTACTTTTCATACAAACGTTTTGAATATATAACTGAGCTTTAACCTATAAGTCAGAAGATTGCTTCCAAATTGCTTCGAAAACACATGCTGTTGTCGAAAATTACACTTGTTTGACGGCTCACCTCACTAATCGCTATATCAGGGGTGTCCAACTTGCAAGATCTCAAGGGATACAACTAAAACCTTTAATACGGTTGCGGGCCATAATTTCATTACTCGGGCGATCTACACCTGACTTCTCCGTATTGTTGATTTCGACACTTTTCCTGGCTGCTCAAGAAAAGGGAGTGGGGTGAAATAGAATCGTGTGTGAAATCAGGGCTTACCATGCATAATGCAGTGAAATACCGTGGGATGATTTTCAATGTCTAAATTTACTAGAAAAACTATCCTTATATCTAAACTTAACCTATTTTTAATTAAAGGAGGTGTTGACCACGGCAGGGCGCATAATGTTCTCGGATGAAAGGGACTTTCGCAGTCGCAATAAATGGCACCGCGAACCGCCAGTTGGACAAACCTGCATATGTAGTATTTGAGTAACTGCGAGTGTGCGGATACGTCCCTCCCGGATAGACCTCTTCCGACGCACCAATCGAGACATGAGGTGCCATTCGACGCATCTCGGTCTCCTGGGGGGAAAATGATAATTTGTTTTTGGAGAGTTTTCGTTACTGCAAGAAGATTTGATGAAATTTCCAAAAACATGTTTTTACATGTTTTGGTGCTGCGATATTAGATGTTAGGTCGGTAATTAAACCAGCGCCACCTAAACAGATCAATGTAGGTGACGTTTACTAAACCCCTGTACCAAGCGGCAATTTTCGCTCCACGTCGCCATAATTTTCTTCCGCGTGAATGGCAACACTGATTGTTGCCATTTCTAAGTGGATGGCGCTGCAGATTTCGTTATTTGTATTGTACTTGAGAGAAGTTACAAAGAAAACACCCGTAAAATACTTTATTTACTTCATAAAATACCAAACGAAGTGACTACACCACCTTCTTCTATTTGTTATGTTTATACTATAAAATAGGTTCATGAACAAATGATAACATATTTATGAGTCACCATCTTTCTTTTCAAGAACAAAATCACGAAATTTGGTTACACGGTAAGCTCAAAATTCTTTCTAAATAAAAAACATGAATGTTTTAAATATAAATATTTTTTAATATTCAAAATGGCAGAGATTTTAATGAAAATTGAAACTATGCGTTTTCTTCTATTCGAACAAAAAAATTAAAGAAGCCATTTGCAGTTACTTCCAAAAACTTTGTTTCATGAAAATACCCCCAATTAAAAAATCTTAATGATCTCCGAAACCGCCTAATTAGGTCTTGCATATGATGTATTTAGCAATTTTCAGCCCAAAAAGCTTCTAATTTAACAGAGTTGTGCGTAACTCATCCCCCCATCCCGGTTTTCGGGTACAAAATTGTGCGCTGCTTCTCACCACGAGCATCAATCTTAACCATCTTTGGAACAGCACTAATAAATTTCAATTCCATGTGCAAAGATACAATGCAAAAAAATTGCAATTTTTCAACCCAGTGTCAAATTAGTATATATACATTTTTATCACATATACGTGAAAAAGTACTTTAGCAGCATATTATTGGTCTTTAAGACGCGACGTTTTAGAAGACCTTACAAACTTTTGTTCCTTTAATTGCATTGATTAAGGAAAATATTTGAAAGAGTTATCAAACACAGTGACATCGATTCATACCAAACTTGTGATTTCATGAGCTTATTTAAATAAGGTTCACACATAATGCTTTTTTCGGTCTCATAGACATCACTCCGGTGCCCTAATGTTTCTTCGTTCTTATGACCACGTTCTGTTCTTATCATTATGTGCTAATGTCCTCGGGCGACAAACAACCCTCCGGCTGAAGGTCCATGGGATGTTACTCATCGGTAAAATCTGTAAACTATGTAGTTGGTCCATAAATACGTAGATAAAAAGTACATCAGAAAACTAACAGATTTGTTTTTTCATATTTCAATTGATTTCATAAGTTTAAGATGTTTTGCAATTTGAATTTTTAAATAGAGAAAGTAGGAGAGTTTAATTATAATTGGATTATTCATGAAAAATATTGTTACTCGGACGTTCTCCAAATTATTTACTCTGTTAATTCCTAATGCACCACTGAAGTGATCAAAATAACGCGTGGACACAGATGTTCAAGTAAGAAATCGCTTCCTAACATACTCGGCGTGATGCCAGCAAGCTAACAGATGGATTGCATCTCTTACACGTCCTTGGATTTGGATTTTATGATCGTGATCATCATACCTTATTCTGGAAGATATCAACTGATTTCTTAACAGTAGAATTAATTTATTGGTAAAATTTACATTTGTTTTGGCCATTTCTATTTATTATTGACCTGGTAGTTTGTTTGGACGGGAGTAACTAAAGCCTGTTTTAGAAAGTGAACTGGTCGGGTGTGTTTCTCTTTTGGCCTTTACGTAAATGGGCGCCCTGGAAAATGAACAATATAACTCGGATAAATTACTTGATAGAGAACAGTTTAACATTATTTTTGTGAGATTTCACGAATGTAATGCTATAGAATTATGAATTAAGAAATCGAAAATATTGAATATAGGAATTTACGGATAATTATATCCTTTTCAGTGTTACTTATGCCATTCTAGAAATATAGCAGAACTTTCTAGGAGTTAGGAACTAGGAATTATATGCTATTGATGCTTTGCTATTGATATATGTTGCTATTGATATTGATATTGCACGATATATGCTGTTGATGAAAAGAAGACAAAGGAGGGGTTTCTAGTATTGTTTTGGGTTCTGGAGAACCAATATTAAGAATTGCTTTGCCGCGAGTCTAGTTAATACATGACATTTGCTTCGAAAGATCATTGCAATGCTACTTTGATAGATATTGCCAATAAAACGAGGAGGCAAGGGAGCACCTGCTGATCGTCGGTGATGTCGAGCTGCAGCACGTGGACGCGAGGCAGCTTGCGCAGCCGCAGGGCGCCCGCGCTGTCCGCCGCCTGCAGGCAGCCTGCGAAGACGATGCAGCCCAGCTCCTGTAGGCGCAGCGCCACCGCCAGCCCGAAGCCCGAGTCACAGCCCGTGACGAGCACGGCGCGGCCGGCGGGCGGCAGGCGTAGGGCGTCGAGGGCCAGCCCGAGGGCGACGCCGGCGCAGAAGGCGGTCAGCGCGCACGCCCCGACGCC